GGGCTACTCAATTTTTAAAATTTATTATAAATGAAATGGCTAGAAATATATGGAATGTCCATATTAAAATTACTGACTTTAGATTGCTCTGTCGAATGCACTTGGTTAATTACCATACCTTAAATCTATTTGTAGTCCTGATTCATATCCATAAGAATATAATCACAATCCACTCATTCACTAACCTGTTGTTCATAACTTGTGTTCAAATCTTAGCTTTTAAAAAAATAAGTATAATTAGTATTGGGGGTGGAGAATCAGATCCCATAAACTATATTAGAAAGCCAGATTGTAGTAATCTGGGTGGAAATGTTTATAGATACTGTTGTCTATATGGGGTTACAGGTCAAATCAATATGATTTCTCTGCCCAGAGTAAAATGAGAAACTGTCACCTCTTACTTTCATATCTGACTATTATAGGAATTAATGGGATGGGAGCAGAGAGTAAACCCTATAGAATGTACCTTAGCCAGAATGGTTACATAGCTGGATGCATATTACCTGCCCAGCAGGCCATAGGAAGCTTCTGATGGAGCCAAGACTTGAATCAGGAGTTGCTAAATCTTGGCCTATTTATATATGGCCTGTGACATTTCCCGTAATAATCCTGGATTCTCATCATACATAGTGCAACCAAAATGCCATCTCTGCCAATTCTCTTTGAGCAATAAAGGCTGGTGGGGGAATCTGGCACTGGGCCATCATGTCCCTAAAATATATCACTGAGGTACTAAGAATGACACACACATCATCAAAAATATTATTTGTCTTGTCATTGATACTACATAGGAATAATTCAAACATCACTGTCCCATAAAGAGACTATAACTTTTTAATCAGCCCAAGTAATCTATCAAGGTGGCGAATAGGACTTACATGGATGACAGTGTTTTTTGTTCATGGCCTGTGGATCAAGGGAAGACGGGGGTGAAGCTTATTGATACATTTATTTATTTATTTAAAGAAATAGTCTGCTCACATTATAATATTATCAGATCAGTGTACAGAAAAACAGAATGTAAGGTATGCATCAAAACTAATATTTAAAATGTTCAATGCTATAGGATGAACAATAATTTAAAATTTCATTCTGAAAGGGAGTAGGTAAATCTAAGTGTCTTAAGGCTTGTTTCTATATTGTGCTAAATGGCTACCCCAGCAGGATTTTCACTTGCACAAAGAGACTTCTTCACTCCCACATACACCCCTCGCCCTCCCACGTTTGCTCCAGAATGGATTTGTGGAGCATGCTGGGAGAGTGGGCAAGTCCTGTTGCACAAGCAGAAATGCTTGTGTTGAGGGGATGGTTACTTAGCACTACATTGGCTGCAAGCCTTAAGCATGCATCTGAAAGACTGGATTGCTGGAGCATTCCTTATCTCTTAATTGTATATATTCCACATTAAAGGGGCCACATACTGAAAATTGTACTGCAGGTGGACATGTTAATTGCAGGAACTCTTGGGACTACCAGGTCGTCTTTTGCAGGGAATGTTGTGGCTGGGCCGGAGCAGAAGAGAGGTGGTATTTTAAGAAGCCTGGTACCAAGTTGTTTAGAGTTTTGTAAACTAGAAACAACACCTCGAACCCAGCCCAGTAGCATATAGGTAGCTAGTGCCATTGCTTCAACTAATCTATCGTAGAAGCTTTGAAGAAACCCAGCAGATGTTTTGCTGAGGATGTTTGGGGAATTGTTGAGTTTTCCCTTGCACTAATAGTAGCCAGTTTTCCAAAGAATCACCACAGGGAGATAATCCTTTAGACTGCTTGGGCAGTCTAATAATGTTGTGGTAAAGTAGCCAGAATTGGCTGGAGTTTCTTGCTAATCTGGTTTCTGAAGTTAGGCTGTCATGTGTGATTATTAGTACATCTATTTCAAACAATGTATGTAGCTGTGCTGCAGAATGGGTATCTTAAATCGTAGACAAATGGATGGATGGGTTGAATAGCAGGATAGTATGAATGAGTGGGAGAATCCTAGAGCTCTTCAGTGAGAAATTTCAGGCATGCCTGAAAGCTAGGAGGAGGAGCTGGAAGAGCTGATACCTCAGTCCCATACTGTATTTCTATAGCACATTGTTGGAGTGACTGCTTATTTCAGCTCCTATTGTACATTCTTGCTAATGATTAGAAGACAGGGATGTAGCCTGACAGCTGTGCCACAGGAAAGATGAAAGAGCAAAGGAGAGAGTGAGGGTAGGACGTGTGGTAGAAGTTGCGACATAAAGCTCAGGTAAACGGAGCATGGATTAGACAATGACCAGTCAGAGCAATAGAAAATTGGGCTTAGGTGCTTAATTACAGACAGAGCTTAATGGAATCAGAACAGATAATTAGGATGTGTTCACATCCTTAGAGCACAGAAATGTTATTTGTCACTGTGTTTCACAGCTCCCCCCCCGCCCCACCCCCGTTCATATCACCTTAAGGGCTCACATGGTTGTGAAGCTAGTTTGAGAAACAAAGCATCAAACATTAGCATCCTAGAACAAAGTACAGGATATATATGTTATGGATAATGTGGTGTGAACATGTGTTAAACACCCAGCACTAGAAATGCAGTGAGTGTTCAGTGAGTGTTCAGCCTCAATTTCAAAAGATGACAAGTGGTACCAGCAAGAAAACATTGGATTGTAACCTCACTTTCTAGTGCAGTTGCCCCTGTAGAGGGTTTCACCAACCAGCCATGCCGTCTCCCAGGATTCTGTAAGCTAACGTCGCTGGTGCCACACCCATTTCATACTTTCCAACTCTCATTCTACACTCCATGGCTAATGAGCATATTCAGTCCTTATTGACGGGGGTGGTGGGAGCTTGCCCGGTTACATTTTTCAACAGGGTTGGTTTTACTGGTTTTTGGGGGTGTTTTGTTTGTTTGTTTGTTTGTTTGTTTGTTTTTGGAATTCTGCAAAGCTCAGGGTATTCCCAAGTATGAGGATACCTTCATCTTGTTTTCTAGTGGCTATGTTTCTATCAGCATTTGCCACTTGAATTGTTAGGCAGAATGATGTCACATCCAGGAACACCCATTTCACATGTTATCATGGTCTGTGTCCTTGCAGTTCAAGAATAACTGAAGAGAAAGAGTACATCGAAAGAGCTGGGTGATATCTCTTTTTCTTTAACGCAGTGTGTACATGACTGTCTCCAACACAACTGAGATTATGGTTTTCTGGACCTCACCAGAACTAATACATTGCCAACATGTTACTTTGCTCAAAAGGCTGCATGTGGAATAGCATCATGTAACCATTTGTTTGTTCTCACAGCACAGAGTAGAATCTTACTGTGATGCCTCATTGGCTTGTGTGGAATGATTATCTTGCCTTTCCGGCATGCTTGACTACCTCTTGTTTGATTTAGGAGGAATAGCTAGTGAAACAGTAGAATATCTCTTCTCAGCACTGGCTGATCAGAATTTGGCAGGCTTTCCTCAAGGAAACAAAATGGATTCGTGTTGATTCAGGTTCCTTTCAATAATACATCTAGCAATCCGAAAATGTATGAATCATCTCACTTCTTAATAGCCGATGTGTCCTTTTTTGTCAGAACTGAGTGAACTTTTAAAAAAGAATCTCCATATGCAGCCATTTGAGCAAAGTAACATTTTACTCTTTATAGAAGGGTGGTCCAATGCTCTGCCGGCCTGCAAGGCGTTTTTTGGCAGCCCCTGGCAAGGCGGGGAACAGGAAGCAACTCCTTGGGCAGGAGCGGCTCTAGGAAGGAGGTATGAGGGCTTTGACAGGGTCTTTGAGTCCTTGTGTCTCCTTCCCAAAACCTAGTTAGTGCTTTCCCAGCTGTGGAAAGGAGGTGGGAGGGCTCTAAGATCCTGTCAGAGCACTCATGTCACCACCTCAAAGCTGGGCAAGTGGTTACTGGGCTTTGAAAAGGTTGTCCTTCAGCTTGATGCCCAGTGCAAGCAAACCAGTCACACTGCCTTAAATCCAGTGCTGCCCCCGCCCCTCAGTGCCAGGAAGGAGGAAATGAAGGGCTAGGCGAGAGCTGTCCCTTAAGCAGCAGAGACCTGGAAATGGTGCTGCTGCTGCTGGTGGTGAGTTGGGGGAACTCCTCATTGTCTCTGGAGCTCATGGGTCAAGGGCCTGGCTGGGGAAGAAGGGATCAGTGGTGTGGGGAGGAGCAGTGGAAGTTTGGGGCAATCGGGGTGGGTATATCTCGGCTGTGTGGAGTGTGAACAATTAATTGTAAGGCTTCCACAATCCTTCTATAGGTACAGTAATACCTCCGCAAATGTCCGCCTTGTCTAGCATCAATTCTGGCAAATGTCTGTGGCAAACCCGGAACTACCAGAATGGGTTACTTCCGGGTTTGCTGCTCACACATGCGCAGAAGCGCTAAATTGCGCTATGCACAGAAGTGCAAACCACTCTGCGCGCGTACGCAGACGTGGCGCTTTGCCCTGCGTCCTTTTTGGCTAGCGGCCGGGGCTCTGGAACGGATCCCAGCCACAAAACAAGGTACGACTGTATATTTTCTTTGCCCTTTATTGTCAATTTGTGCTGCCTGCCTCTAGTTGGAATCACTGTTGGAGAGTGTAAGAGAGAAAACAGATGGGGGTAAATAATATTAGGGCAAAGAGGAAAAAATTATGCATGCTTCTCTGTTGTTGTTGTTGTTGTTGTTGTTGTTGTTTAGTTCTCTGCAATGAGAGCAATAGTAGTGCAGCCTCTGCAGCAAGAAAACGATAAAAGATCACTCTTCTTCATTCATTTCTGTGCCCTTGAATAAGGTGATTTTTGTGGCTCCCCACCCCCTACCCTTTCATTTAGACTGAGATTAGGAAGACCAACTATGCATATGTCCCAGGGTATGGTCTGAAGGCACGTGAGGCCACCACTTTGCTGAAACAGAGCAGATCTGGGTGCATCTGGTACCTGGATGGGAAAGCTCCTGGGAACTGTATGCGTGCCACTTTGGGATCCATGATGTAAAAACGGTGGGATTTAAAATTTAAGAAAATGCAAGTGAGTGATACCTTCATTCTAGTTCTGCTAGTTTCCATTTATGTTGTATTAAAAAGATCTCTAAGGAAACAAGTTTTCCCATTGAATTCAATGGAACTGAAAACATAGATTTGGATATGTACAATAGTTATGACTGTGGTACACAAGAAGTATCTCTCTAGCAAATATCACCCATCAATAAAATCAAAAGGGTCCTACTGTGGGATTCCCGAGCTTCAGAGATGCACAGTTTTGCCCTTAAGCTGCATTGCTCCCTGTTGTCATATTAGCAAATCCTCCTGGACCACCATTTCAGGAATGCTAGGTTAACTCTGAAACATCTAACACATTTTAGCCAATCATTATGAAACGTTTTGTTGAGAAAGAAAAGGGGTTTCAGTTGTTGAGTCACCAGTAAACTATGTACCTGTTGAGTACCTGTTGAGTATGAAATGTTATTTAGCTCTAGGCAAAGGCAAAATAGCCCGGTGCTAATTATCTTGCTGTGAACAGGAAAGAATGTGAGCTGACCTACAGGTAGAAGCCTGTGAATAACATCCTATGGCATGTTTAGTACATTATAGCTGGAAGAACAGCAGTGGAGGGGTTGAATAAGCCTATTCTCTTGAACCTAGCAAACAAGTCTCCTCCTGTCCATAAATGAAATTATTAAGAGCCATCTTGGTCAACTGACTGATGCAATTATTAGACAAAAACTATATAGATCACTTATTGTTAGCTATCGGGTGCTTCTTTTCCTCAGTGGAATGATGCCTGAGGATAAGCTTATTTCAGTCTTGTTCTTTTTTTTAATCCTAGAATCCCTATGGTCCACCAACACATTTTAAATCTATGAAGCAAGAGTGTATCTTCAGTAGTCCTTAAGAGCCAATGCATAACTAATGTGTATTAAGAGATCTTTAATGGGCATTCTTGCTTAAGAATGTGTCTTGCTGAATCAGTTTAAGAAGCACCTGGTCCAGGAAACAGGCTGGTATCACAGCTCTCAGCAGCTGCTAAGTGATCCACTGGAGAAGAAAAAGCAGTGTCTCTAGATTGTATTCATTTGTGCCTATTTCCTATTTGGTCTACAAATATTTATATTTTGGTTAACAGTGTTATATTATAAACAGTGTGTAGTCATTTTTAATATAGACAACTTGCATGAGGGTTAGGTTCCAGGGACTGTGCGAAATTGCTTATAGCCAGAACAACCCCACAACTGAACATGTGCGACCATCAGTGTTTTCCTTCTAGAAAAAAGATGCCGGTATGGCTGACCCTTGAGTACCCCCAGAAAAAAAGCACTGGTGACCATTCCTACCTTTCTGGAGCTGGTGCACTGAGCGGATCTTGCCTCCCATGCAAGGCAGAGAGTTTTTAAGCCCAGAGTCCTGGTGAGACTTTTCCAGAGCCTGGGAAGCAAGGCAGAGAGCTTAAAGTTTTCTGCAGTGGGAAAATGTGGTGTAGAAAGAGCTTTCAAGCTCTCTGCCTTGCATGGGAGTCTTTAATTTGTGCGATTGCATGCTGCCAAGCTGCCAAACATGTAAAGCTATAATTGCACAAGTTAAGTGTGCGCAGGTTGCAAGTCAACTGTACTTTCTGTCAGGTGTTTGTACACAACTTAGGGTGCAATTTGTAGAAACAGAGTATAAAATTAAAAGCAAAATATCCATTTGTGGGGGAGGGACATATGGCATGCTTATCTCCCTACACTACAGCAGCCAGACTCAGGAGAGGTGAAGGGAAGAGCACAGGAAGTACCGTAACTGCATCATTCACCCCTCCCATGTGGTTTTCCTGTGACTGGCCTTCCCAGAACTGTATGGAAAGCAGCCAAAGGAAAGCTGTAACCATTCTAGATAACTTAAGAACCAACCAGCCACTTGATGGGTTTGGGTGCTCTTACCAGTACTATGTTAATTATAAACAACCTCTTCATTTATTATTCTGTGTTTTCCACACTTGCCAGAGAGTAGTTTCCTCTAGGAGTGCTGCACTGGAAGTCCTCAGGAGGAAAATGTGAATGCTTATGATAAGCTTTCGCTTCATTTCTTTTTCCAATGCCTTATTACGGCATTTCAGCCACAAACACAAGAATAGAGCACAGAGTCCTTGTGTTTCATAATCTCTCCAGCTGGTCCTATTTCAATTAAAGAGGAAAAATGAGGTACTACATAGCTGTTACAAAACATCTTACGTGGCAGCATGATAATTTGCATATGTGGTAGGAGTCCAGGAAGGCACCATCGCCTGGTTCATGTTGACATTTTACTTGTCCTTAAAAGGACTTGGTGGAGGGCGGGGGAGAGAGTGAAAGAGCTGGCAGCTTGCTATGAGTATTAAAAAGAAAGAACGAACGCTATTTGCTAATAACTGTAGTTTGCAAGGTGAAATTAAAACATTGCTTCATGGAAATTGTTTGGTTTTTTAAAAATGCCATCTGTCTGAAGATGGGTGGTTTTAAATATAGCCTCCAAGCACCTTTTATACAACCTCCAGTGCTGATAAGGAGCTTGATAAAAGCTTTTATCTATGCCAAAGGGAGATGTTTCATGCTAACAAGTTTAAAGCCATGTAATCTCTACTGTCCTTAACACCCTAGTAGGAAAAGGGCACTTGTCTTGAGATTTGTATAATATCCAATAATTTGCCTTCCTCCTCCTGTTTTTACTTTGAAAACCTGCCATATAGAGTATTTCATCTTTTGTCATGCTATTAAAAGAGAAGTTGGCTCTTTTTAGTTTGTCTGAGTTTACTAATCACCAGAGCATCCAGATTATTGTTCACTCGGCTTGGCTTCTTTATATTTTAAAGTAACCTCTATACCAGGCTTCCTCAGCCTCGGCCCTCCAGATGTTTTTGGCCTACAACTCCCATGATCCCTGGCTAGGAGGACCAGTGGGAATTGTAGTCTCAAAACAGCTGGAGGGCTGAGGTTGAGGAAGCCTGCTCTATACTGTCTCTCTCATGAATGATCAGTCTGAGATAGCCCATATTATCTCTAAGTAGTTAAAATACAGTAGTGCCCCGCAAGACGAACGCCTCGCAAGACAAAAAACTCGCTAGACGAAAGGTTTTTTCGTCCGCGATTTGCCTCGCAAGACGAATTCCCCTATGGGCTTGCTTCGCAAAACGAAGCTTGCCCCGGGGACAGCGGGTCTTCTCTTCTGAAGCAAGGGGCTGGGGGAGATAGCGATCTCCCTGCAGCCCCTTGCTGCAAAAGACGTCGGGGGAAGCGGGGAAGCGAAGCGCTTCGCTTCCCCGCTTCCCCCGGACCTCTTCTGAAGCAAGGGGCTGGGGGGAGATAGCGATCTCCCTGCAGCCCCTTGCTGCAAAAGACGTCGGGGGAAGCGGGGAAGCGAAGCGCTTCGCTTCCCCGCTTCCCCCGGACCTCTTCTGAAGCAAGGGGATGGGGGGAGATAGCGATCTCCCTGCAGCCCCTTGCTGCAAAAGACGTCGGGGGAAGCGGGGAAGCGAAGCGCTTCGCTTCCCCGCTTCCCCCGGACCTCTTCTGAAGCAAGGGGCTGGGGGGAGATAGCGATCTCCCTGCAGCCCCTTGCTGCAAAAGACGTCGGGGGAAGCGGGGAAGCGAAGCGCTTCGCTTCCCCGCTTCCCCCGGACCTCTTCTGAAGCAAGGGGCTGGGGGGAGATAGCGATCTCCCTGCAGCCCCTTGCTGCAAAAGACGTCGGGGGAAGCGGGGAAGCGAAGCGCTTCGCTTCCCCGCTTCCCCCGGACCTCTTCTGAAGCAAGGGGCTGGGGGGAGATAGCGATCTCCCTGCAGCCCCTTGCTGCAAAAGACGTCGGGGGAAGCGGGGAAGCGAAGCGCTTCGCTTCCCCGCTTCCCCCGGACCTCTTCTGAAGCAAGGGGCTGGGGGGAGATAGCGATCTCCCTGCAGCCCCTTGCTGCAAAAGACGTCGGGGGAAGCGGGGAAGCGAAGCGCTTCGCTTCCCCGCTTCCCCCGGACCTCTTCTGAAGCAAGGGGATGGGGGGAGATAGCGATCTCCCTGCAGCCCCTTGCTGCAAAAGACGTCGGGGGAAGCGGGGAAGCGAAGCGCTTCGCTTCCCGCTTCCCCCGGACCTCTTCTGAAGCAAGGGGCTGGGGGAGATAGCGATCTCCCCCCAGCCCCTTGCTTCAGAAGAGGTCCGGGGGAAGCGGGAAGCGAAGCGCTTCACTTCCCCGCTTCCCCCTGACGTCTTTTGCAGCTGTTCCGAAGTGGGGCGGGGGGCGGGGTCACCTGCCCCAGCCGCCCCACTTCGGAAAGCTGTTCCGAAGCGGGGAGGGGGGGCGGGGACATCTGCCCCAGCCGCCCCACTTCGGAAAGCTGTTCCAGGAACAGCTCCATAGGAACCTCCATAGGCGCCCGTCACCTCTCCAGCCAGGAGAGCGCGCGCGGGGCTAAACCAGCCCCCCGCGACCCTCTCCCAGCTGGAGAAGTGACGCGCGCCTATGGCAGGAGCCTCCATAGGCGCCCGTCACCTCTCCAGCCGGGAGAGCGCGCGCGGGGCTAAACCAGCCCCCCGCGACCCTCTCCCAGCTGGAGAAGTGACGCGCGCCTATGGCAGGAGCCTCCATAGGCGCCCGTCACCTCTCCAGCCGGGAGAGCGCGCGCGGGGCTAAACCAGCCCCCCGCGACCCTCTCCCAGCTGGAGTTGTGACGCGCGCATATGGCAGGAACCTCCATAGGCGCCCGTCACCTCTCCAGCCGGGAGAGCGCGCGCGGGGCTAAAGAAACCATAGCCCCGCGACCCTCTCCCAGCTGGAGAAGTGACGCGTGACTATGGCAGCAGCCTCTGAAGGATGCACCGAAGCCTGGCGTGGGGGGGGGCGGAGAGACCTTCTCCCCGCGCCAGCCTTCGGATGGCTGTCCTGAAGACTTGGGGTGGGAGAAGGGTTTTCCTTCCCACCGCCAACATTCAGAATGCTGTTCTGAATGTTGGCGGTGGGGAGGAAAAACCCTCCTCCCACGCAAGCCCCGGGAACAGAGGGAAAGCGCTGCGCGCCTTCCCCTCTGTTCCCGTACCTGTGCTGAAGGCTTGCGGTGGGGAGAAAAGCCCTTCTCCGCACCGCCAGCCTGGCAAGCGGTTTCCCTAGGAACGCATTAATTGATTTTCAATGCATTCCTATGGGAAACCGTGCTTCGCAAGACGAAAAATTCGCTAGACGACAAAAATTGCGGAACGAATTAATTTCGTCTTGCGGGGCACCACTGTACTGTTTTTAAGTTCCATATATGACTGCTGCAGGAAAAAATGTTGTTGCACTAGTGTTTCCTGCAGTAGCAACAAGTAATATAGATGTCATACACTTGTGTACACACATCCTTAAATTTTCATGTACATGATCTGGGAAATCTGATAGGATAGGGTTCTCAAATGCATACATATAGCTGTTTAAAGATTTGTCTCTGGGGCAGAGAATTCTTTGTTTGGGTTATGTTGATCTGAAAAGTGCAATTTATAATGTATACTGACAGTGTTATCAAAAAATCATAATAGGCATTATTCTTCCTTACTCCATAGGTTGGCTATACCTTGCTGTTACAGCTCGAGTGGAAAGCTGCCACGTATCTTTGCCGAATAAATCTAAGGACGAGAAATGTTTCAGATTCCATTAGTTTTGCTCCTCAAGTTTCAAGTAGCTGAAATACCAATGCTTGTACTGATACAAGGATGGCTACCTTCATTGTTAGTAAGTATAAAACTGCAGATCACACACAATGCCATCCACAAACAATTGAAACAGGGTGGCTCAGCCCTACTCCTGGAATTGCCCATTTTAGGGCCATTTGCTGGCAGAGATAATGCTAATGGGCCTTCTGCTTACATGTGGCAGGTGGAAGGAGGCAGGGGTAGGCAGTGACACTTGTGGCAGCTGACAGAAGCAAGCATAGAAATGCCTCTGCTCAATCCAGCCCCGCCCCCCAGCTTGGAGTAAGTGAGGGTTGGACTGCAGCCTAATTTGTGGCCTCCTGATATTGCTACACTGCAACTCCCATCATCCCTAGCCCACAAGGCCAATGGTCATGTATGATGGGAGTTGTAGTCCAACATCTAGGAAATCAGTTTCCCCAATTCCAAATTAACAATAGTATGTTTGAGCCATGCGAGGATAAGCAGCTTGTAGATTGCAGCCTAAATAAATTTAATTTAACTAAAATGACAGGGTGGATAACAGAAATAACGAATTTTTCACTCCATAAGACGCACCTGACCGTAAGATACACCTAGTTTTTAGAGGGGGAATACAAGAAAAAAATTATTTAAAAGGAGCACTGAGCAGAGCCCGTATGCATCCCAGGCTCTGCTCAGCTCTCCCTTTCACGAGCCACGAGGAGCATGTGTGTGGTGCTTGCAGGCTTTTCCCCAAGGAGGGAGAAGGGCAGCCTATCACTGACGGGCTGCCTTTCTCCCTCTTCAGGGAAAAGCCCCCAAGAGCCACACACATGCTCCATGCGGCTCTTTAAAAGGGAGCACGGCTCTTGGGGGCTTTTCTGGGAGGTGGGGGAAGGGACAGAGCTTTGCGCTCTGTCCCTTCCCCCACCTCCCGCAAAAGCCAGGGATAGCCCTGCGAAGCCTCCGCAGGGCACGGGGATGAAGGCTCCCCCGTGCCCTGCGGAGGCTTCACGCGGCTAAGCCAGAAGCTAGAACAGCTGTGCAGCACTCCCTCTAGCTGTTCTGGCTTTGGGATAGCTGCACAGCCTGCATTCGCTCCATAAGATGCACACATATTTCCCCTTACTTTTTAGGAGGGAAAAAGTGCGTCTTATAGAGCGAAAAATACGGTACTCCATTAGAATGTGGAGAGTGGAAGGTGCTTCATCAGATGAAAAAGTAGGAGCAGCTGGTTACAAAACATTTAAATTCTTCACAACTTTTTAAGTTTTACTGTGTGTATTACTGTCACTAGGTGCCCTACAAAAATTGACGTATGAGCCTATGGTCAATTTATAAGAGACCATCAAGAAACTGATACATCAAGAACAATGATGCGATCAACAGAAAGTTAACACTGCTAACGATGCCGAAACCTCTTTTTCAAATCGCCACATTACAGCTGGTTCAGAAGGGCCCCTTCATAATTCTGCATTGATGGAATGAAGTTAGCAACTTAAGTTATTTATCTGATACTTTCCTAAAACCTAAAGTACTCCATGTGAATAAGCTGTAACCTGACATTCAAAGGGGAAATCTAAATATGTCTGTGTGCACAAAAGATATGGAAGAATGGCTATGCCTGACTTGTATGCTAAAAGCACAAAAGATGAGCTACATGCAGTGGCTGTGGCACCAGTCCAGGCAGCTCAGATAGCCAAAATTTTATTGCGCCATGCCACTGCTTCTTCTAACAAGCCAGGCAGAACCACCCCTGGGCTACCCACTGAATCCTTCTACTCAGCCACAGGAAAGCATACCAAGTTGATTGCATGAGAAATAAATCACATGTCAGCTCTCCATTTGATAGTCAGCACCTTCACTGTGTTGCTGGTCCTCAAACCTGACATAGCTATCTATAAGCAAAATGCATTTAGCCAACCAAACTTACTCCATGCGAAGGCTAGGTGAACTTAGACAGACTAGCAAAGGGAAGGCAATATCGCCACCATTTTCTAATGGTGTACTTTCCTGAGAAATACTGTTTGATGTGTTTACCCTCAAACCAGCTTCAGTCCAAAAGGAGAAGTTATGCCACGTTTGCTTTGTAGTTAAGGTGAGGTGTGTATATTGGAGACAGCCATTGGGGCAGTTGCAGGAGTGGCAAAACAAATAGGTAACACAACTTGAAATGCAGTGAGGAAATGACCTTGCTGTGTTTTAAGCTGCTAATGTGTAAGTAGCCCAAGTATCCTACAGCCAAGCATAGTGAATGTTTGATGATGATCCAGAACTAGCTACATCTAATTTTAATGCATCCATCATGGTAAAAACAGCTGTCTGTACTACAGAAGCTGGATCCAATGGGGTGATGCAGATGCTGGACAAAATAAGCCCATACCTGTAGGGTAGGAAGGTCAGGCCACTTCCCTCTGTGCTGATTGCACCTCAGCAAAAACTCCTATATAAAGCTGCTGACATGGCACCTGCAAGAAAAAAGTGTCAACATAAAAATTAATGACTTGCTCTTTAAATGCAGGTGCTTTGCAGCCCAATAAGGAAGCATTATAGTTAAGTATTGAACCGGTCTGTTTTCCAAAGGAAAAGAGGTTGCTAGGAGGAGTAACTTTAAAAGGAGTTAAGATTTAAAAGGTAAAGGGACCCCTGACCATTAGGTCCAGTCGTGACCGACTCTGGGGTTGTGGCGCTCATCTCGCTTTATTGGCTGAGGGAGCCGACGTTTGTCCGCAGACAGCTTCCAGGTCATGTGGCCAGCATGACTAAGCTGCTTCTGGCGAACCAGAGCAGCACACGGAAACGCCCACCTAGCAGTTCGAAAGCACGTCAAAGAGCAAGTAGATAAATAGGTACCACTCCGGCGGGAAGGTAAACGGTTTTAGATTTGGATTGCAGCTAAATAGCTACTCACTGCCTGGACTTCTACACTGGATGTCTTAGTCCCCTTATCTGGAAGAGATTTTATTGCAGCAATACTGATTTTTGCTAGCTTTCAATCAAAACACAATGCACAAAGGAAAAGCAACTGTAAATATAACTCAGTAAAAAATGATAGTAATTATTGAATAACAAACTTCTAATGCAGGAACAGAACAAGCAAATTGTGGATGGTGAATGAACATTCCTGGCATTTGCAGCAGAGAGATTAAAATAAATAGTGCATGAGAAATGAAATTAAAGAAGAAAAGTAGTATTTCAATAGACTGAGAAGGAATACACAGAGATGAGAGGTGTCTAAGATTATGGAGACACTTAAACATAAATAAAGGAAACTTAATTTTGTAAAGAAGAGAGAGACTATGCAAGCAAAGGAGAAAGACGGTCCAAATGAGAGGAAAGAAGAAGCAACCTGAAGAACTCAAGATTGGGAAACCAAATAAAATCCCAGTAATCATAAATAAACTAAATACATTTTTAGGGATTCAGCATAGCTGTAATATTGTTAAGGAAGTATTGCTTCATTTTTACTATTATTATGCAGTGCAGTCAGTATACATAGCACTTTAAAGAGTAACAACAAGAAAGGATCCTGGCTCTGGGACTTACAACGTAAAATTAAACAGTAGGAGCAACAGGAAAAATAGTGAAGTCAAGAAAGAACAGAAACGATAAAAGTGAATGAGTGAAGAGATTACTAAAGCAAGGCATGACCTACAGGATCAAATCCACAAGAGTTGGGGGGGGGGAGATAGTGTAAGATGCTGTGGGTTTACATGCAGGGCAGTTACTGTAAAATGAGGACAGAAAGCAAACTAAAAAATGATCATGTTAGATTTTACATTAGAATGAACAACCTCAGGCAGCTTTGAAAGGAATTTAAGAGAAATAGAAAGATGGGATCCAAACACTAATTTTTTGAAACAGAAGAAATGATAGCTGCTTAAGGACCAATCCAAAAGATTAAAAAGATGGCTTAAGAGGAATAAGCAGGAGGAGATATATTTATTTTATGTATTTATAGGCTGCCTTTCAGAATTGCCTCTTGAGGCATCCCAACATGTTAAAAACAATCTATGATGTTGAGTAAGAAACCAAGGCAGGAGAGGGTGAAGAGGATGGGTTGTGAACTCAGGAGAACTGAGAACACAAAGTAGGTTGAAAATAAGTAGAAGAGACAAAAGAAGAAATAAAGTGGTGGCAAAACACAACAGTAATGAAGAATGAATCCTTGAAGTTCCATCAACAAACTATATATTAGTGTGTGGTTGGGTGCTGGTGGCTCACTCCAGGAGAGAGCAAGAGGACCATAGGACTGCTGCCAGACATGCTGGTGTAAAACAAAAATATTGGGGCTCCACCAACCTTTATGGCAGGTGCCAGGAAGGTTCAGGATTTAAACCTCGGTATTAACTGGAGCATACAATGAAGATTACAAAAACTGCGGGAGAACAGCAGTCAGTAAGAGGGTTAGCAAGAAATAAAGACAAAGGGTGGATACCTGTTCCCTCATTGGTTTCTCTGTGTGCCCTGGTTTCTATCTGTCCTTCACAAACTGTTCTTTCTCAGGGTCAAAGCATAAAGGTAGAGCCCCAAGGGACAGTGTGTTCTCAAGCCCTCGATGCTCTCTGCAAGCCTTGTACCTGGTTCTCTCAAGTCTCCTGACCCTGTAAAATGAGAACAGAATATAATAGGGCAGTTAATAGGTGAAGAAAGCCTCAACCCTTTCTGCTTGAAGCTGCATCATTTCTTGCCTCTTGGGCTTCAGTGGCTAGCACTGTGTTATAAGAGGAGGAGGCAGGCCAGTCACACCCAACAAAACTGGCTTCCTGAAGTAGCCTGGCAAGATGTGAGAATTTCCGCCCTGACCGGCAGAGTAATTTGCCACTTTTGGAGTAATTAAGAACATTTGTATCAAGAAGATACAGAGAATGGTGAAGAGAAGAATAAGCAAAATAATCAATATGAGAATTAAAAGGTCCAAGAATAAGAGAGGGGAAGGAATTAGCTATGAGCCAAAGAACAAGAGTAATGCAGAGAATAGAATATGGAAAGATATGAGTACCACAAACTTTGAAATGCACAAAGAAATGAGAGGCAGGGGGAGTGGGGAGAGAATATGAAACTGGTAAGAAGGGGGGGGAAGTAACTACAAGCACAACCATGCTCTGTAACATGAAATGAGTGGGGAAAGGGCAAGCAGATTAACTAAAGAGTGGTGGAAGTAACTCAAATGAAGAGTTACCTGTCTCAGTAAGAGCAAACAATGACAGAAACTGGGATTAAAACTGTGTAAAATAATTGTTTCATTTACTACTGAATGGCAGTCAAAGCCAAAATATGCCAGTGAGTGTCATTGGACAGCAATAGTATTAGGAAATGAGATTGAGCAGGGACTAAGATTAGGTAAAATATCACCAGCAATAAAAAGTAAGAACACCACCCCTCATAGAAAAACTGCAAAAAATAAGTATCAGTAGATATGGCAAAGGGTAAAACCAGTGAAAGGATCACAAGACATTTGGTACAGTAGGGGAATAGGGTGGAGGAAATCAAGTGTTCCAAAAATGGGGGAATTACTTGGGACTTTCCTTGCCTCTCCTCAAAAGGGGTAGTAATGAGGACTTAATTGTGATGTAGCTTACTTGCTCCATTGACTTCAGTGGGTTGTACGTGATTAGCTAAAATGGCCAGACTGTTAAGTTAATAAGATAAGGTTTAATGCAAGTAAGAAACATAGCCATCCATTAACATTAAACTATGTAAAATAACAGATCTTCTTTTCTTACTATATAAATAGGTAAAGAAGAAAATGAAAACTTTAATGGATAAAATGTTTTGGGGTATCTTTTTCTTGCTTTCAAATGCTAGCATATTTACCTTATAAAATATTCTGGATTCTTCAGGTTTTATGCATAATAGAATGTTGGCATACATTTATGTTCATATTTTCAGCATTTGTTTTATTACAATGAAAGTAGAGCACATGCTAAACCAAAAAATAGGCATTTCCTTCTAGGAAACTTGAAGAGCAACTTTCTTTACAGTGCTTGGATTCTGAAGATGGTACCAGCACAAGAGTGTGTCTTCCTCTGGAAGCTGGTTTCACATGGTGGCTTAGATTTTCCCATCTTTGTATCTAGCACCATTTGAAATCAGTGTTCTAGGAGCAAGAATTACAGCACTGGATCCAGAGAAGAACAGGAAACAAGAGCACAGTAGTCACCAGATTTAATTTGGTAACATTCACATGTCTTTCTCTGTGTCTCAGTAAGAGATCATGTTTAAAGATGTAGCTTAAGTTATGCCTAGAGTTCAAGAAAATGCATTGTAGTACAGAATGGATGCCATTCTACTGCTTGCATGCAGCAGTGAAAGCTGCAAATGGAGAGCCCACGGCACTTAGTGAGACATGCAAAGAAATTGGGCTTGGGGGAAGCAGTCTATGGTGGAACTTCCTATGAAGGGGGTTGGGATCCAGAGACACCTGGTCAACCCTTTTCCACCCCATCAAAAGCAGTACATCTATGCAGAGCTTTCCACAGGTGTACTGGGGACTCTTCTGGGGGTATATGTGCTGCCTTGCTGGTGGAGCAGCAGTTATGAACACTCTGAAGGACCCTCGGCCAACTTCTGGCTAGCTGTCAGATTGCAGCATTACAGTTATACACCATAAAATATGGCTAACTTTTTGCCATTTCTCTGTTCAATCTACATTGGTCCGTGCTATTCAGGACCACTGCCACTTCTCTAATCTAGAAAGGATTCTGTTAATTTACATTATTTTATTTGCATTAATTTCACCACCTTTCATTTTCCTGCCATAGTTATTGAATTCCATCAGCTTTCACACTAAAAACACTGTTGCATGCAACTTCAATGGTTATTCCATAAAAATATAAAAGTGAGGAAATTTTGAATATAACATCCTTCTTTTTGCTTTAAATTAGTGCATGCTTAAGTACCAATAGTAATGTGGGAATTTTATATTTTACTTTTGGCTATTTGAATGTTGATGGTGATAAGTCATATAATTAGGAACAGAACATTTATTGAGTAGTACTATAACCATATTTTTTAGGCCAGCTTCTTCCAAACTCTTTCAAAGTAAATACCTAGTATTGCATTGACTAATAAGATGCATTGACTAATACGACCATTGTTCAAAGTTTCATAGGCTATGATCTGAACAACTTGCAAGTACTCTTAACAGCCAATATGGAACTGGAAAAAACATCTCTTACACAGGCTGACCGATTTCTCTTGGTGTTCAGAGTCTTAGTTTTTGTCTAGCACCATTTGAAATCGGTTATGATGTAGGGGGAAAAGCAACTGCAATGCATATGCAGAGTGTGGTTTAAAGATGCTCTCAGCTGAAAAAGCTCTATGAAGAGATGCCTTTGAAACAATGATATGACTATTGGTTTTGTGTCTCTTGTGTGGGCAGATATTGCAGTAACTATCTGTAAGTTCCATTGCAATAGATATCTGTGGGCTTCACTGTCTAAATCCTCTAGCTGGAGTAGTTGGAGATGATAGCACTGTTATTCTGGCTGTAAACTTCAAAGTGTTCTGCTAATCCAGCCCTATTAGTAGAACTGTAAAAAATGTTAATATGCAAACATTGGGGCTAGATTATTCCTTGAGGCTTATTGTTATTTCCACTTTGTTTTGACTACCTCGTTTCATGCACCCCCTCCCTTCAATATCATTTCCATTATTATATGCATAATAAATATATATTTAATGCTGGACAAGCCAGTTTCACTCACAGATTGGATAGACTTTGAAGAAAATGGCTTGAGGCAGGTAATACCATATTGGCCCACATATATGCCACATGCTTCCTAGCTGGTTGGCCTGACACGCTCCCCCCCCCAAAGCAGCTGGGGAGCGTGTGCCACCAACCAACTGGGAGGTGGGCACGCCGCTCCCCCCACTGCCAAACATCTAGGGAGTGTGCGCTGTCAGCTACCTGGGAGGTGGGCGAGCCACTCCCCCCACCCCTACCGCCAAGCAACTAGGCAGCGTATGGTAAAAAGTTGCGAATATAAGCCGCACTTTTAACTGCTCAGGGTCTGAAATTGGAAAAACGTGTGGCTTATATTCAGGCCAATACGGTACATGATGGTGGACTAGACATGTCACTGACCATTCCTCTGCATCAAATGAGAGAAGCACTGTAGTCGGTTTGTACCAGAAACAACTATACTGCAACTGCAAGAGAATTAAAAAAAAAAAAAACCATGACAAACAAATACTTGGGGAGGGGGGGAGAGACAACATGGGAATACAAAAGTTTTGAATGAATGTTGTCCAAATTCTTAGCAGTAAAAAATAGTATGGAAATGTCCTGTGTAAAACCAAAATAGCACCAGTATTTTGAATCATGCACTACTGCTGACTGGCAGCAGACACAAAGTTAAGGCTGCTCACTCAGCCAAATCATTTTTTATATTCCATTTGGTAATATTTATAAGGAACAGAATTGAAAATAAAACAACTATAATGCCCTAAAGAGGCCTATCAAACCTCCACTTTGTGGAATGTCAGTTAACCTTTTTATTTACCCAGGCTTTTCCTGTTTAACTTTACTGCTGTATTTTTAACTCTTCTTTTTGTTACACTTTCATTGAGTTGTTGGTTTTTACTGAAAATTGCCCTATGTTATAATAGAAAACATTTACAAACAAAGTATTTGTTAGCTTACTTTAATCTGCTGCAGACAGAGGCTTAATGTCACCTCAAAGTTCCCACGGCACTCCCCCCCCACCCAGCTCGTCATAGAAAAAAATAAGTTTGTGTTGTCCTGTCCAGAGCTGGACTTGTGGTTGGTTTGTCTCTAAACAAATCATGAGCAATTAGCTAAGAACAAACCCTGGTAACTGTTTGGAGCTAAACAAACGCAATGCAGACCCTGACTCATCTGCTGTACGACAGGAGCATGGGGACTTTGGAGTAGCATGTACCAGCACTCTGCAGCTTTACATTAAACCATACTCTTTTTAACTATGGTTTAAAATGTAATGTGCAGACTGAGCCAGAGAGACCTTTGTACAAGAAAGACATTTGGTCTGATGTAATATGGTAATTTTTGAGGTGTTTTAAAATAGAAAAAAACTTAAGAGGTTTCTTCCTCTCTCTTTTCACAACAATGAAGCAGTATATAAATGTTGTTAAGCAAATAAAAAAATTAATTTGTAAATTCTGCTATGTGCAGAAAATGCAAAATGAAATCAGCAGAAATGTTTAAACCTGTGATATAAACTAACACTATATGGCACTGCTGTTTTACTTTTGTAAAAATGTGTGCTTTGTATGTAGTTTACAAATCATTCAGTTTTGCAACACCATCCATTCCCCAAACTCCATTTTATTTTTCTTTGTATTTTTTTTATGGAATGTAAAATCACATTGAGAATGATGGTGCCTATTAAAGTAAATGAATTCTATTGCAAAATAATACAAAACTGAATTTGTTGTCTCATTCCAATCTGTGTGCACATTTCCTAAGTTTCTAAGGAGATGCAAACAAAAATACACTTCCTTTTTTCTTTTTTGCAATAGCTGCTGGGGGGAGGGATACAATTTTAATCTGAAAAACAGATTAGTGCTATCAGAACTGAATCCAAGGCCCACTTTCCCAAAAATGCTATTTGTGTTTTCAGAAGCTTTCACATTCAAGTGTTAACAATTTATTGAACTTTGCACACACCTGTGGTTCTGCAGCCTTCTTTGGTATCGTCCTCAGTTCATTATTAAATAGGATGAGAAACCTGATAACAGCACCTCTCCAGTCAGAACTGTTAACCTGAAATTAATTTGGGGAAATTAATTCTAGAATTTTGTTGGAATATGCAATATTTTCACTAAAATTTGTTTATAACTAGCCATGACAACATGCAAACAGCTTTTCCAGTTTTTTTCTAGTTATGCAGCATGATGTACTTTAAAAACTGGTTCTCAGTCTCAGCATGTATCTCTGAGTTGCAATGGCAGGTGTTCTACTAGGCAGAAATTGGGAACCAGACAAAAAAAGGGGGGGTGTTGGTCTTACCAGTAAGGAGTTCCTTTTCTACAGTGGTAAGGGTTGTCTGGATTTCTCTTTCCACTTCAGAAAACAGGACTTGCGCAAATCAGATATCTGCCATGCCCTGACTGGGAGAGAGCACCCTCCCTCAGTGCTGGGACATAGTCACGGGTCTACAGAGTATAGGTCCCTTGCTGTGTAGCTTACTTAGAAAAGTGTCCAACCGAAAAAACATGGACAGTAGAGAACAAAATAACATCCTCCAGAACAGAAGAAACGGACAAACCTACCCAAGTCCATTTTCAATCCATTCTCACCTGGCAGGTAAGCTACCCTCCTATCACTGACTATGCCCTGTCTGGGGGGAAAAGAGCAGCATTTCCTTGACTCCTGATAGTCTAGGGCAGTGTTTCCCAACCGGTGTTCCGCGGCACACTAGTGTGCCGCGAGACGTTGCCTGGTGTGCCGCGGGAAAAATTAAAAAATTCAAAAGATATCCAGAGAGGCGGCCTTCAGGCGAGTTTTAATTTTAATTTTCCTTCTCCCACTTAATGCCCCACGCTCGCCCGAGCAGCTTGCAGTCCTCGGTAACCACGGCGACCCAAGGGAGGGGAGGGAACAGGGAAGTCGAGGGCGGCGGCGAGCCGCGATGACGTCAGTGGGCCGCGCCGCCTCGCCCTGGCACGGTGTGAGAGCCCCGGCTAGTGGCGCGAGCTTCGGAATAAGTGGGATCCGCGTGCGCGAGACCGAGATCGCGGGTAAGGAGCTCAGCCCTGGGCAGGAGGAAGCGGGGCCGCGCGTGCGGGCCACATCCCCACAGAGAGCGAGCCTCCCCCGGCCCACCACTCCGGGCAGGTCCACTCGCATGAGGGGGCGGCAATGGCGACGGCCGGCAGCTTGCCTGCAATGCCATCCCTCGAGCAGGCGAGGAGCCCAGAGGCTACCAGATGCGAGTCCTCTTTCCCACCCTGCTCGGGAGTCCAGAGCACTTGGTCGCATTCAGGATCTAGAGTGGGGAAGCGGGGCTTGTGTCTGGGCTGGACACATTGGGCTGCCTGTGCCGCTCGACCTGCGGGGAGAAATCAGGGTGGGAGTCACGACCGTGAGGCAGGGCTGCCAAGTGTGGCAGAAGAGGACACGGCCGTCGCACCTGTCCTTAGGTAGGAGCTTCTTCCGTGTCGACCTGCTGCCCTAAAGTCTTGGCTTTTTTCTTGGCTTTTTGGCGGTTGGCACAGAAGGAAGGCAAGGGGGAGGGGAAAAAATTGAAACTTACACTTTCGTGCGTCCCTCCCGGCGTGACGCTGCACGCTGACGTCACGGGGCTGTAATGGTGGTGTGCCTCGAGATTTTTTTCATGAAACAAGTGTGCTTTTGCCCAAAAAAGGTTGGGAAACACTGGTCTAGGGTCCAAGCTGTTCTTCCTACTCTACCTAACAAAAGTCAGGCAAATTTGAAGGTGTGGTTAGTGGATTATTTCCATGATTTCAGAATAGTGTTGAACTGCTCTTGTCTATTTCTAATCTAAGATCTCAACACTCTTGGGGTGTCTAAGAAAATCTAAGAAACTCATGATCACAAGAACTCGCATTTCATAGAAGAAAAATAAGATGCTTAGAAACCCCCCCCTTCAAAAAAAAGGCTAAACACATACAGTCTTGGGGAAAAGAAAGCACCCCCTCTTTGGATTCTGTGGTTTTACATAATGGCATAATAACAATCAGCTCCTTAGCAGGTTCTTAAACTTAGGTAAATACAACCTCAGATGAACAACCTGACATATTACACCATGTCATGATTTATTTAACAGAAATAAAGCTGTTCCCATGACTGTACACTACCCTTGCAACAGAGAAAACCCCCAGTAAATTTCCCCCCTAAAAAAGGAGCTTACTCCCTTCATCTAAACAACAAAAGCATGTATATTAGTAACTTCATTTTATTTTTAAATTTAATTGGATGCTGGGGGCATGGGGAGTTGGTTTAACAGGTGTTACACTGGGATCCCAACTATCATTTGAAGAGCAAGATATGGTCTTGAAGCCAAAAAAGATCTGGATGATGAACTGCTGTTCCTTGCTGCTGAATGGCTCTTTTAGTTAGTATCTGCATGGCTCCACCTGACTTGATTTTAGGCCTGAAATCCAAGCCCTCTTTGCCCAATTCAAGGCTGCTATCACTACTATTACCACCACCAGATGTACTACCTACCATTCATCAGAAGGTCTGAGCACAGGTTACAACAAATTAAAAACAGCTGAAACAGATTATAATCACAAGAATAGGAAGGGCCTGAAAACACACAATGTCGAAGGCCAGAAATCTAGTGAGGAAGCCAGACCCACCAGGGGTGTGGAATTCCACAACTTGGAGGCTGCCACAAAGAATGCCCTCTCCCAGGCCACCACCCCTGAACTTTTGAGAGTGATCTGTATACTCTCAAATCTCATATTCAAAACACTCTGGCTAGATTTTGAGGGGCCTAGATTAGTACAGTACAGCCAAGGGCTGTTGACACATTTCAACTTCACTTAAATTTGCACAGCAATTCTGCCTCACACTATTTAACGCAAAATGGTAAATGGAAACAACAGCTGTAAGGAGGTGGGATGAAAACATACCAAAATGCTTGAGATATTGCATATTACTCCACTTGGCATACTACAGACTTGTGTTTACCCTGCAAACAGATGTGCATAGGAAACTTTGGATTTTCTTCTTGGGGTTGGTTTTTTCTTTAGGTGTTTTAATTTAATTCTTGCTATTAGAAGGCAAGAGTTGGAATACTGATAGCTGCTGAAAAGCAGAAACTGAGAAACCCAGGACTATTTTCTTACAGTAATTTAGCAGAGGCATTTCCCACCCTCTCTTCAAAACAAGCAAAGACAGTTCATACTGAAAGGTCTTAATGTGAGGAAAAATCTGTGCTGCAAATGCTTCCTTCAGTAGATTTTGTGGATGAGTCTTGAGTGTGTTTCACAACAACCCTGCCATGTAGGTGGCAAGTATTGCTATTCCTAACTTGCAAAAGGGGGTCAGAGAGACCAGTTCTACTTAAAGGGAGACCCACTCAAATTAATTTAGAAGGTGACCCACAATAATTTTATTGTTTAAAATTCCTACTGCAGGAATATATGCTTTCAGCTCTTTCGTATTTTAGTTGAAAGGAACCTTGAGTCCCGCTAGGGAAAAAGGCGGAAAATAAATAACAACTAAATAAATAAATAAATCTACTAGTACTAATAATAATGGCAGCCATGTAATGCAATCTAGCATTATTGTCCTTACAATGTAGGGAGATCCGTGATGCAATCCAATGTTTCACAACCAGCATGGGGCGGGGAGAGGTTGACAGAAAATAGCTTGCAACAGACCTGTAGCTGGCAGAATGCAGGAACCCTTCAATCCAGCCACTCGAAGCTCTCATCCCAAGGAAAGGCAAGAAGAGAAGAACCTGACGACGCCCCGCCGCTCCTCCTGGCGGCAGCTGAGGGACGCAGAGACGGGAAACGTCAGCGCGGTCCGCCACAGAGATAATAAAGAGCAGAGTGGACTTCACTGCCTTGAGAAGGTATTTCCGGGTTCACGCGGAGCCGTGATTTTTACACTTCAGAATCCAAGATTCTACAGTGACAGTGGCAGGGCAATAAAATAGACCCAACAGATAGAGGAGGAGAGGAACAGGCCAGAGATTTAATTTTCTTCCATTTGTATTCCAGATGGAGTTTACTGCACTTAATAGAAAAGCAATAGTGTTATTTAAAAAATAAAATAAACAGATTTTCCACATCAGCATTGGTTTACTAATGAGCTCAGATATGAACATGGTAGACATCAAAATAATCACAGTTCAACTCTCCCAACCCGACCCGACCCTTCTTACTGCACCTCCGCAAACAAAGCAATTTTGTGTTTTCTGCTTCTTTTACTACTCTTCTTTCCTCCAAATGTCTTCCTCCAATAACTTTTGAAAGAGTGATCAAGGCTTGGATTAGCAGAGAGCCCCCACCCCCACCCCCACCCCCACCCAGAATAAAAGAATACCTAAAACCTGAAAGCGAGAAACATGCACACATAGTTTTTCCTCTGTGTTTTCAGCAATTCACCAATGGGATAGGGGATGGAAGCCACAGTGGTTCTACTTACTAGGGTTGTCGATCTGCTAAAACCATGTTTAAAGATGCGAGATGCATTTTCATGATGAGAATCTAATACACACTGACTGGGCTTTCAAAATGCTTTTGATAAAGTTCCTTATCGAAGACGAGAGTGCACCAAAAAACAGAAGTAAAATTAAAAGGGTATTCATGCATAGAGATCTGTTCACTGGAAAGGCTCCAAAGCCCAACCAGACCTACAAAGGAAGGCCACCTGTTGCCCATATTCCCCAAACATCACTGACAGATGTAAATCATTAGAATTAGCCAACATATTCAAATTCAAATCGTAGCAATAGACCTTGCTTCACTATTATACATGCCATATGCATGTTGCTGTTTCACTTTGGAAGCCTTTTTAGCTGAAGAGTAGGTAAAAATGCTTACTACTAATACTAATAATTAACATTTGCAGTCAAATATTGATATAGCTGGAAAGGCACAACTTTTGTAGAAATGGATTAAAGTGGGATAGATCAATTTGTAGAACATGAGACTCTTAATCTCAGGGTCTGGGTTTGAGCCTCACAATGGGCAAAAAGATTGCTGCATTGCAGGGGGTTGGACTCGAGGACCTACTTTCCAATTCTAAGATTCTATGATTCAACTGAGCTTGATCTCTATGGGTTGGAGATTAAAATGATGTTTTATGGATAGTAGCTTTCACTGCATGTAGCTGACCACTAGATAGCAGCAAAGAATTATCCAGAAGCCTTTATTTTGGCATCTGGGTAGTCTTTTTGAATGCAATGTTTCTTTGGTTTATTTTTCCGACTCTACTGTTTGTTCAGTAGTCAGGGTTTTAATCCTTCACTGCCTTCTGATTCCAATAATTACCCTTCCTATCCTGATCCAATAATTCTTCTTTCCCACATATCCACAAATTTATTTTCCTTATAGCTTCAAATCCTTGTCCACCAACATGTTTGTACATGTGCTATTACTCTCCAAAATTTAAATTGACTACACATGGTAATCTCTGGGTATAATGGGTCCCTGCCATGTGTAGGGTTATGTAAAGAAAGTTTTGATTTTAGCCTTGTGACAGTGTTTCAGTGGACAGTTTTTTATATGACTGCACCTTATAGAATCATAGAATTGTAGAATAAGTTGCAGCTTATTTGCAGGGACAGGGGAGTGGGCCTTTTGCTCCTCTGCAAATCAGCTATAAAATTAAACGAAAAATCTAGTAACTAGCAAAAACTACAGACCAAAGGACAATACTGTAATATGAAAATGTGATTATATATATATATAATTTATTAAATTTATTAGTCACTTGTCACCCAAAAGTCTCCAAGTGACTTAAAGTAAAGAGCTCAATTAGGGTGCGGTGAAAGAAAGCAAAAATGAAAACATTTAAAAAGAACAGGAGCAAATCAACATATGCCCTTGAAGTTTTTAGCAATTTATACTTTCTCAACGAGAAGCATATTATATGTCAGACAGTTATTCCTAATGGTTTAAATAACAGTATTTACGCAATAAGATTAGTTTTACAGAGTCTGCTTCTACTTAGGATTTTTAAAAATACAGGTATTCATGTTATTTAAAAACCGTATGGCACAAATGTGGCATTGTTCCTTTAAGGGAGCAGGTGAAGGCTGCCCCAGGTAATATACAGATGAGATCTGAGGGGAGTGTATCATATCTTTGGGCCAGTGGGGTTATAATAGCATTCCAGACATTTTGTGTGTAAATGTTTTGAAATTTTAATGTCATATAATATGCCTCAGCATAATTCAGCAGAGAATTATGTAGTAGGGAGAAATTTCCTTTAAAGGAAAATGGGTTCAGTTGGAAGAATTAACGCAGGCTACTATCCTGGAAGGGACGCGGGTGGCGCTGTGGGTAAAAGCCTCAGCGCCTAGGGCTTGCCGATCGAAAGGTCGGCGGTTCGAATCCCCGCGGCGGGGTGCGCTCCCGCTGCTCGGTCCCAGCGCCTGCCAACCTAGCAGTTCGAAAGCACCCCCGGGTGCAAGTAGATAAATAGGGACCGCTTACTAGCGGGAAGGTAAACGGCGTTTCTGTGTGCGGCTCTGGCTCGCCAGAGCAGCGATGTCACGCTGGCCACGTGACCCAGAAGTGTCTCCGGACAGCGCTGGCCCCCGGCCTCTTGAGTGAGATGGGCGCACAACCCTAGAGTCTGTCAAGACTGGCCCGTATGGGCAGGGGTACCTTTACCTTTTACTATCCTGGAAAGAGTAGCGCACTTTGTTCTAGGTGGAATCCGATAAAGCTTTTTTTCTAAAGGAATTAGAATTAACTTTCATCTGTAGGAGATTGAAAATGACATCGTTGAAGCTGAGGATTTACTGGTGATCTGTGGTATGTATTGTTGTTTTGCATATGGCTGAAAACTTACGTTAGTATATTAGGATTTCATTTGTGGTGCAGACTACTGTTGCACGATTCTCACACAGTATCATTTTAGTCAAGGACTAGTAACTGCCTAAAAAGGTACAGGGACACACACTATCTACACACCATTTATAAAGCAGAGATTTAACATATCATATTGATACATATGCATATTTCCTACAATCTAAAATCTTTGATTCACAAAAGTACAAAATTATCTTCATCAATTTATACAATTCAGATTTAAAGCAGTGGTCAGTATAAACCAAGTGCATCTCAAACATGAAGTCTTACCCCAGAATGGCTTTTGTGAACTTCTAAAATCCAAAGAGATTTTGAAAAAAGCAGCCGGGTATTGTTCTGGAAAACCATCATGGATAGTAATGACATTCTGCTGTTTACAACAGAAGGATTACTACTGTATTTTGATATATTGGATTGTAAGAGATTTTTAATTAATTCAAGGTAACCCCTTTTCATGACAACGGAGACTGATAGCGAAGCAGTCTCAAAGTGGATACAGCCCTGGTTTGGGTTTCTTCTGCTCTATAGAATTTAATGATGTGTTCAACATATTTATGCTATACATTTCTCTAACAGCAGAAGACAGTGACAGTGCAGTTGAGCATATACACGGTGTAATGACATGATTGCATGGGGTAAGTTGCAATGACTAGACATTAAGGAGAAGAAAGAATAAAAGTCAGAACAGATGTGGCATTTTCAGAGATAACCTGGATTTCTTTTAACATTTAGTTCCATCCTTAGAGGCTGTTGGGGAATGCAGCAGTTTGTTCATATAGAATTCCACAAGGTGCTGCCACAGCAGCATTTGTCATTAAACAAGTCACTTTTCCAAAGAGGTATGAAGATTCAGGAGAGCTTAAGCATCTTTGGTATTCTAGTATACTTGGTGAATCATCTTAGCAGTTGTTTTAGAATAGCTAGAGTAAATGAAAAAAGAAAATAAGATTTTAAGCTTCGTATAGCTCCTACAATTAACTGCAAGTCCTATACTTTAGCTTGAGGAAAGTAACAACAAAACAGTACACTTTTAAGGGCGAGTAAAATAATTTTGCCACATTAGTACTATTTTTGCCAAAAGTTCTACTTTTGGGTTTTTTCCAGAGCAACTGAATTAGTAACTTAGAGCATGATTCAACCTACAAGCCCTGCTAGAACAAGGATAGTTCAGTTGGTTAGAGCATCGTTCTGATAACGCCATGGTTGTAGGATCAAGGGGCTGAACTAGATTATCCTCAGGGTCCTTTACCACCCCACAGTTCTATGATAATGACACTGGGCAAGCTCCTGACTCTTAGGTATCCTATTTCTCAGGGATGTTATGTTACTGTTAATTTATATGCCGCCTTTCAGCCAAAAGACATACCCAGGGTAATTGTTGCAAGGCTAACACTCTCTCAGATTCCTGGAGTAACCTCAAAACTTCTAACTCTGAGAACTCGAGTAAAGACATAGAATACAGTCATACCTCTGTTTATGTATCCCTCCGGATACGTAAACTTCAGGTTGTGAACATGGCAAACCCGGAAGTGTATACTTCCAGGTTTCGCTGCATGAGCATGCACACAAGCACTGAATCGCGCTGCATGCATGTACAGAAGGGCGCCTCTGGTTACGGACTTTTCGGGATATGGCCAGGCCTCCAGAATGGATCCTGTCTGTAACCAGAGGTACCACTGTATAACTTTGTACTGTGAAAGATTCTATAGAAACAGCAGAATAGATATTCCAGTATCCAATTGTGGGATGTAATCCATTGGTACAGTTAAGTGCAACATTCCTTATTTCCCTAGAGTGGGCACAGGCAGGGGGACATCCAGTCAGTGTAACTTCCTGTTCCACTGATCTGGAGCATCCTCCCCCTGCATGTGACCTGGAAGATGGACATGGCGCTGGCTGAGTCACGCAGCCATTTCCTCAGTCCTTTCTTGCTCTCTTGCTTGCTGATCTTTTGCTGCCATGCTGCTCTCCGGCAGCTATTTTGTTATCTTAATGTAATTTTGCACTTGAGTTCAATCTCCATATGAGACAAACTCAGAATTTCTTGTGTGACTATTAAGTAAAGCCTGCCTTTCAGGGATCAAATCATGAACTGAAATGTGAGTAAACTTTTTGTTACTTTACTCAGAAAGACTCTTGTGTCTTTATTCTTGTAAGAGGGATTAAAGGGGACACCAGGAAATAATCTTAACTAAGGGATTCAAACAAATCTGCAAACTAGCTTCCAGCTATATTGAGGGGAAATAGCTCTGCTACATCACTCACTAGTGTGAGTGAAGAAGGATAATACTTATTCAATATATCCTTTCCTACTATCCTTAACATTCCCACACTAATTACCATATTTTTCGCTCTATAAGACGCACCAGACCATAAGACGCACCTAGTTTTTGGAGGAGGAAAACAAGGAAAAAATATTCCGAATCCCAGAAGCCAGAACAGCAAGAGGGATTGCTGCGCAGTGAAAGCAGTGATCCCTCTTGCTGTTCTGGCTTCTGGGATAGCTGAGCAGCCTGCATTCGCTCCATAAGACGCACACACATTTCCCCTTACTTTTTAGGAGGGAAAAAGTGAGTCTTATAGAGCAAAAAAATACGGTACCTCATAGGGCTGTTGAGGGGATAAAATGGAGAGAGGGGAAACCATGTACTGCACCATGAACTACTTGAATGAAAGGTGGAATATAAATGAAATAAATAAATGAATAAAGCTAACCAACAACATAAACTGTGATAGTTCTACCTGCAGGTGCATGTAATTAAACCATGGTTATAGTGTCCAGTTTTTAAGAAAAAAAGCTTGGGATGAAACAATTTAGAGCAGACATGGGGAGAGGTGCTTAACTCTTACCAGTTCTGCTGCTTTCCTACCTCAAATCCCTGCCTCTACCCCACAGAGAGTTCAGATTCCAGTTTTTATTTAGGGCAGAGAAGTAGTAGGAAGGGTTCAGCGTCTCCTTTTTTTCTTTATATTGCCCCATTCCAAAATATTTTATTTTAAAACAGCTGTTAGATTTAATTACATGCTTCACATGCAAATGCTTAGTTCAGCCCAGAGTCTTCCATTTAAGTATTAGTATTGTAGGAATTTAATTTTAAATGTATTTATTTAATTTTATTTATATATGATAATGATTTTCACATTCATAACTATACGTACATTTTAAGGTCAAATAAACACTCTGAAATAGAGGCTTGCAGAACTCTCAAAATAATGCTTACTATATTATAAATGTAACCCAACTAGGTGGGCTGGAGGGAGGCTATAGGCTTGTCTGATAACATTTTTATCATGCAATTAGATCTATGGCATGTGTTTATGCTGAATATCTACAATAAAGCCTTGTTTTAACAAACAATGGGTCAAATGTTAAAGATTAAAAACACTTGTTTCAGCATTATAAATTTTTTTTGTTGTTTCTTGAATCTGTAGCTTTCCCTGGCATTTAATATTGTGGGGGCTAAAATATCAAGGGCCCACAAGCTTAATACAGTGGTACCTTGGGTTACAAACACCTCGAGTTACAAACACTTCGTGTTACAGATTCCACTAACCCGGAAGCAGTACCTCAGGTTAAGAACTTTGCCCCAGGATGAGAACAGAAATCATGTGCTGGCGGCGCAATGGCAGCAGGAGGCCCCATTAGCTAAAGTGGTACTTCAGGTTAAGAATGGTTTCAGGTTAAGAACGGACCTCCGAAATGAATTAAGTTCGTAACCACTGTACAGGTTACATACGCTTCAGGTTACATATGCTTCAGGTTACAGACTCCACTAACCCAGAAATAGTGCTTCAGGTTAAGAACTTTGCTTCAGGTTAAGAACGGACCTCCGGAACGAATTTAGTACTTAACCCGATGTACCACTGTATAGGAAAATTAAAAAGACCCTGGAAAAGTAAGCATGTATGCTCCTCAGATTTCATCAGTTAAATCACCTAAAGGATTATTCAGTCATCAACTAACTGAAGTGATTGAATCACCAAGCTCTTATGTGCACAGGAGTGGGTTGCCTTACTTTTTTTCATTAGCAGTGCCTTATGCTATTTTGGAGGACCTGCACCCCATTTAGGTGTGGGCTTTCTGGGAGCTATAAGGCTTTATCCCCAAAAGAAAGTGCTTAAAAGCCACTGAATGCATACACACTTTCTCAGATAAGAGATCTGGTCCCCCAGGCCCCCTTTTCTGTGTACATAATGTGTGTGGTGGTCCTTAGAGGTGCAAAGAAGAAAGGAGAGTAAGAGGTTGGTAAAGTCTTACCTTTATCCGGAACACAAGGCCGTGTAAACCGATTGGGCTGGCAGCCATAAGAAAATAAGCAAACATGCTTTAAAAAAAAACAAAAAACAAAAAACAGGAAAAAGTCACCTTAAGAACCCATTCACTGGTTTACTTTGAGATAGTAAAGAACAGAATGCACATGGTGATTTCACCACATTTATTTTCAAATATGCGAAACCATTTGAAATAGCTGCTTTGCCATGATTTCCAGAGATACTACTTCATAGACAATATTGTGTGAATTCACCATAATTTTGTAACCATATGGTAAAAACCATAAAACTTCCTTGTATTGTTTCTTCTGGATGGAAAAAATACAGCAAAGGAATTTAAAACAAGAATGAATATTCTGTACAACAATAAAGCTCCTGAACAAACATTGAATAATATTGTAGTTTGCTTCAAGAAATGATTGGAAAACCATCCATGAGGCAATACAACTGAGACTATTATTCAAATTTTGGAAAGAGGCAATGTTGATTCTAATAATTGAATCAGGGAAACATTGCCCACACCCTGAGTTTTACAAACGAGATTAGAAAAGAGTGCCCTATTCATTGCCTATTGGAGTCTGGAACTTGAGACCCCAGGGCCAAGCGTGACCCTTGAGGCCTTATCTGCCAGGCCACAGCCCCACATTCTAGTGCCATTGCCTGCTTGAAATGATACCTCTGTCTTTGCTGGATGGTGAGATATACTTGTAAGAAATCACTGGTTTTTTTGCATGACTGGATTGTGGAACATTTGAACAGGTGTCTGAAAGCAGTTTTGGGGGGGAGCACAGCAGATAAACTGAAGATTAAGACAGGATTGAGATTCTGTGAGTGTCTATTGTTTTGAAAAGAGGTATTCAACTGGATCTGGAGATATTTAAACTCATTCTGAAAGTCCAAATTTGTAACTTGGGGGTCCTCCTAGACTTAGTGTTATTTATGGAAGCAAAGGGAACAGAAGTGCCTAAGAGTATGTTTCATCAATTTTGACTGATGTGCCAGCAACATTTGAACCCAACCCATTGGACCTATTTGCTTCTGAGCCCAAATAAAGTTTGGGTTTTGACTTTTACAACACTAAATGTTTTGTGGTCGAGTCACTTATCGGACTGCCTATGCCAGGCATGGGAAACCTCCAGCATGTGGACCAATCTTGGTCTATCAGGTCTGATTTGGTTTGTGAGGCCATTTCCCCCAAACCACACCCACTTGTTAATCAACTGTTTGTTGCAGAGGTAGGATTCAGTCCTACTGGGCACTATTTTGCAAGTTCTTTCCCTGTGGGGAAAATACTAGTAATGCATACTCATCCCCTCCCCACCAGCCTGCAGGTCAACTTTGACAGGTAATTGGAAGCAGCCACCTGTCAAAGTTAGCCCACGGAGTGGGAGGAAATGAAGATCTTTTCCACTGAGCCACCAGCTTTCTCCACCTTGAACATCTATTGACAGTTACAGAAGCCCTATTTGAATGCTCACCAGCGGAGTCAGGTAGGTTGGTGGGCAGAACACAGAGAATTTATGACAGTGGGCCCAAGGATACAAAACTCTCTACCATGGGAGACGCAGGCTTTGAAAACATTTCTGATGCAGACCATTTTTTAAGTAAGAGGTTATGGTTTTATTGCGTTATTCTAATAGCCATGGTTTGGATTTTATGCTGAATTGACAGATTAAATTAAACCAATTTTATGGCAGAACTTTATTGGAATGATGGAACCTCCATCACACCTTCACCTCAAGTTCATTTCTATTACACCCCATATTGCTGCCTTAGCAACCATTTGCTCTTTTCCTCATCAGGAAAAAAATGCCAGTGCCTGTTTGCATTTGTTCCTCTAGACAAAGTAAACTAGTTGAAATGTGAAAGTTAAAAATGCTTAACATCTGTTGAATAGTGCTCAGCTTTCCTATTGTAAAAGTGTGTAGACCCTGCAAAACTCTGGTCCTTGCTTAAGAAATTTGAAAATGCATTTTCAGGTATTTCTTATTCAGTTTCAATAAATTACATACCAGCTATAAGCAGTACGAAGACAAAACCTAGAAGAGAGGGGAAATGATTCTGATAAGTGAGCTTCTCACAAAACTTTAATACTAATTAAAAGAAATGCTCATTCGCACTGGCAGTCACATCAGAAATAAATTTTAGCTGAAGCACTGCCAATGACTATTAATTTCACACTACAGCTGGTGGACGTATTTCAGGGCCAGAGTAGATGTGATGCTAAATGTGTCACGTTATTGGGTATTGTTCTTAAAAAGGAGGCATGGGGGTATTTTTTTGTCCACTTGTGTGGGGTGTAACCCTTTCCCCCTCTGGTACTGTCCTGATGAAAATTACTAGCTCAGTTATTAGCCCCACGAGGAAAGCACCAAGTGGCACCAATTACATGGTTTCAAAGGTATCTATTCCACCTTTTAAAGCATTGTAAAAATATTTCTGTAAGTCAAAACAATGTACAATCACTATAAGAACATTTCAATAGTATTAACAGCAAAGGATAAAAGCAGAACCAGGAGATTACAACTATCTTAATTAGTTACCACTGAAGGCCAGGAGAATTAAATGTGTTTAATTCGCACCTGAAGTCTATCAGGGATGCCACTCATATTTCAGGGGGGAATTTCAGAGATGGGGTGTTGCCACAGAGAAACTCTAAGTGGTGGGGCAAGAGGACTCCAAAGATGCAACCTATATTCAGGTTTGTATTGGAGGAGGCTGTCTTTCAGATATTTTAGTCTCAAAACACTTTAGAGCTATAAAGGTAAAACCAGCACCATAAGTTGAGTATGGAAACAAATCTGAAATCATTGCAACTGATGTAAAACCAGCATACTATGGTCTAAAAGCACATACCTGCCAACTATGTTTTGCAGCAGCTGCAGTTTCTGAAAACTTTTCAAGGGCAGCCCTACACCTGTAACTGACCAAGGTATGTGTCACCATGGCCAGAGCTATCTTTTCCAGAAAGGTAAGTAACTAGTACACCAGGCAAAACTATGTCACAACCCTGGAGCTGGATTCCTTCTCTTCAATGGATGAGGGCAAGAACTCTGAAGCAGAAGGGGAAAGACCTGTGGGACCAATCCTAGAAGCACTTCCATCAGATACGTCTGTTGTGCCAGTGCCGCTCCAATTTGAGGATACAGTGTTGCCATCTTCAGACTCTAAGGACTCCATCACAGAGGCCCCAGTTGAGACCAGGGTCTCCCCTACTCCACTGGAGTAGAAGACTAATGGAACAGGCTGGGGGCCTTTAATTGAAAAGCCACCTTCCAGTGAGACAGGGCTAGCAATGGGGCTGCTGCTGCTGCTGCTGCTGCTGCTGCTGCTGCTATATGTCTTAGTCTCTGTTTGATGCTTGCTGAAATAACACTTTCTCCTCCTTCAGCAAGGTGGGTGGTGAGACCACATCTTACTCAAGTAAAGGAACAACTGGGAACTGACTTTAAGTACCTGCCTCAAAACTGACATCACATACAATGTAAAGTGTGAGATGGGTGGACATATTTTCTTATTGCCGGGGTGGGGGGGGTAATGCTGCTGCAGACCAAATTTGGAACCCTGGTGGACCAAGTTTGGCCAGCAAGCTAAAGGCTCTCCACCTTGGTCCAATTCATTACTCCAAAGATCTACATGGTCACCTCAGTCCTTAATATCCAAAAAGAACCCAGGATCCAGTGAACAGGTGGTGAGTCTCAAGCCTCCAAGAAGCTTCTCTACATCTTAAGGTTGGAATACATGACTAGATATCATTGCAAATCCATCCATCCTTCTTATCAAACTCTGACATCCAAGTAAAATAGTAATTTTATCCACAAAATGAAACACAAACTAGGTTTATGACAGTGTATGCTCATGAATGTAGTAGTTCCTTCCCCATCTGGCCATTCGTTTCTGTTTATAATAGTCTAGTTTCTTTTTCAATGTGGCTTATAAAATGAAAGGTAGGAGAATACTATTTGCTTCTAATTGGTTTTAAATATTACACTTCTTAAAGAGTTGGTAGAATGGAAATTTACTTTACTTCAGACCAGGAATGGGGAACCTATGGACCTTCAAAGTTTGTTAGGATTTGTTACGAGTTGTAGTAGTCCAGTAACACGTGGAAGCCCTATTCCTGCTTTAGATTATCCACTGGTGTCAGGAACAGGTTCCCTAGCCACCTATCCTCTTTCCTAGCTCACTCACAGGGACTCTTAATTATTACAGAGGGTGCTCCCAGTGGCCTACTGCCAGGTGAACTGCCTATATGCATCAAACTCAAGCTAGTAATAGAAAGAAAATCTCCTGTATGAGGAAAAGCAAGAGTGACACCTGAAAAGTGACAGCAGTGTCAGATAAGTGTTGCTATATATCTACAACTTCATACGTACTCAGGTAACAAGATGGAAGTTTAGGTGACCATTGCTTCCCACCAATGTAGCGAATCTCAGATGGCCCTGCTAATGTATAGCCAGCAGAACATCGAATAGTAACTGTATCTCCAGGCTCATAGCTGGTTTTCTTCCCCCGGATTATTCTTGCATTACGGATAGACAGGTAATAAATGTCTGGTGAAGTTCTAACTGAAAACACAAACTATTATAAACATAACAAAGCAACACTAAAGCACACATTATTTTCCAAATATTTCATATTTTAGCTTAAAGTGTTGTTGTGGTTGGAAGGGCTGTAGCTCAGTGGTAGCACACTTACTTTGTATGCAAAAGATCCCATGTTTAATCTATGCTATCTAGGGCTGGGAATGCCCCCTGCCCAAAATACTGGAGAGCTGCTGCATGTCAGTATGGGTAATACTGACTTAAATGGCCCTATAGTCTGACTTCGTAAAAAAGGCACAATTTAATTTGCAACATGAAAAGTGTTTGTCACCAAAACATTAAGAAAACATTGCAATGTACAGGTGAAACTAAAAAAATTAGAATATTGTGGAAAAGTTCGTTTATTTCAGCAATTCAACTTAAAAGGTGAAACTAATATATGAGATAGACTCATGACATGCAAAGAGAGATATGCATGCTTCTACTTCTCAGTGGTCCAATATTGCTCTATTTGCAATCCTTGTTTTGCTGATTTCATTTAATATTCTAATTTTCTGAGATTGTTAATTTGGGGTTTTCATCAGCTGTACGCCATAATGATCACAATTATAGCAAATAAAGGCTTTACATATTTTTCGAGTTTCACCTGTTAAGCTGAATTACTGAAATAAATGAACTTTTCCACGATATTCTAATTTTTCAAGTTTCACCTGTATAGTGTTGTAAATTCTTAATTCTTGGTTTGTATACAAAAATCCTTTATATATATATATATATATGCAGGTTTTGGTGTCCTCGGGTGTCTTCCCGTGTAAAAGTTGGGGTGTCTAGGCGACGTTTCGACGAGGTCTCACTCGTCATCTTCAGGCTGGTGCTTTCGGCTTCTTGTTACTGGAACAGAGCAGGATCTCAGTGTTTGAGTTCCTATAAATACTGTTGAGGGGGTGTGGTGTATAGCCTCCAATGTTCTGGGCAGAGAGGAAGTTCCCAGGCTAGTGTGCCTTTTCTTCTTTTGTTCCTTAATTACTTGAGGGATATCTTGAGTGATTTCTTGAGTGATATCCTGAGTACCACTTAGGTGGGTCATTAGGTGTGGATTAGTTGCTAAAGCCTTCGTGTCTTGACCTCTTGAACTTTGTGAAGAGTTTTTCTGAGAAGATGGCTGTACTGCATTTAGTTGTGCTCTGGCTTGGCTTCGTGTATAGGGGCGAGCTGTGGTTTTGTGTCCTGTGCCAGCCAGATCTGTGTAGGGATTGCAGGGGGGTGCAGCATCCGGAGGTGCCACCATGGTTTGGCTACTGGATGGTGTCTGTAATTTATCTGTGGAGAGGGTCTGGGTTTGGGTCTGGTGTGGTTGATTGGTGATGGCGTTCTGTGTGCCTCTGGATCTGGTGTCGGTTTTTGTGGGGAGGGCTAATTTCCAGATGTCTGGCAGGCGGGATGTGTCGTCACGCTTGTTCATGTTGTGAGGGTGTTTCTCTATCTCGATGGCTTCCATGATTATTCTCTTGTGGTGATGTTCCATGTTAGAGAGCAATTTGGAATCTGCAAAATTAATTTCGTGTCCTGTTTCTTTCATGTGTTGGAAAAGAGAGGAAGTTTTTTCTTCTTTTTTGACGGCATTCTTGTGTTCTGCGATACGTGCATTTATTCGTCTGTTTGTTTGTCCAATGTACGTGGCTGGGCAGACTTTGCAGGGTATTTCATAGACCCCTTGGTTTTCCAACTGGATTTTATCCTTGGGGTTTCTGAGGATATTGGCTATTTTTTGGTTGGTGCAAAAGGCTGTTTTGATATTGTGTTTATGGAGGATTTTGCTAATTTTATCTGTAGTGCCCTTGATATAAGGAAGGAGGGCCATGCCATTGTTTTCTTCTGTGTCTTGGTTTTTGGGGGGTGTTTCTTTTTGCATTAGCTTCGTAACCCTGTTTTGCTGGTATCCATTGGCGATTAACACATTGGAGAGATTCTGTAACTCAGTTGTCAAGTGGTCTTTGTCAGCCAGGCGTTTGGTTCTGGAGATGAGAGTCTTGGCTACGGAGTTTATTTGTGCAGGGTGGTGGTGTGATTGTGCATGTAAGTAGCGGTTGGTGTGTGTTTTTTTCCGGTAGATAGTGTGTCCTAGGGAGCCATCAGGTTTTTTGTAGATTAGGACGTCAAGGAAGGGAAGTTGGTTGTTGGCTTCTATTTCCATAGTGAATTGTATTTTGGGGTGTAGGCTGTTGAGATGTGTGAGGAAGCTATCTAGTTTTTCCTTCCCGTGTGGCCAAATTACAAAGGTGTCGTCAACATATCTGAGCCAAAGTTTGGGTTTGTGTTCTGACTTGTCTAAAGCATTGGTTTCAAAGTGTTCCATGTACAGGTTTGCGATGACCGGTGAGAGTGGTGATCCCATAGGTGCTCCTTCTATCTGTTTGTATCTTTGTCCATTGTGGATGAAGTACGTGTTGGTTAGGCAGTGGTTGGTAAGGTCCAGGATGTATTCGGGGGGATTGTATTTGTTTTGAATGGCTGTCAAGGCTTCATTAATGGGCACTTGTGTGAAGAGAGATACAACATCGAAGCTCACAAGTAGGTCATTGGGATGTAGGTTTTGCTTCTTTATTGTTTCTATGAACTGGAAGGAGTTTGTAACGTGTGAAGGGATGGATTCTGCATAGGGCTGAAGTTGCTTAGCGAGAAATTTAGCGAGATTTTGTAGAGGTGAGCCTATGGAGCTGACTATTGGTCTGAGTGGTGTTCCTTCTTTGTGTATCTTGGGGAGGCCGTAGAGTTTGGGGCATCTGGATGATTTTTCTCTGGGGATGATTCTTAGCTGGATTTCTTCACTGATAGGAGAGGCTTTTATTTTGGATTTGGTGGTTTTTTCCAGATAGGTGATGCAGAATCCATCCCTTCACACGTTACAAACTCCTTCCAGTTCATAGAAACAATAAAGAAGCAAAACCTACATCCCAATGACCTACTTGTGAGCTTCGATGTTGTATCTCTCTTCACACAAGTGCCCATTAATGAAGCCTTGACAGCCATTCAAAACAAATACAATCCCCCGAATACATCCTGGACCTTACCAACCACTGCCTAACCAACACGTACTTCATCCACAATGGACAAAGATACAAACAGATAGAAGGAGCACCTATGGGATCACCACTCTCACCGGTCATCGCAAACCTGTACATGGAACACTTTGAAACCAATGCTTTAGACAAGTCAGAACACAAACCCAAACTTTGGCTCAGATATGTTGACGACACCTTTGTAATTTGGCCACACGGGAAGGAAAAACTAGATAGCTTCCTCACACATCTCAACAGCCTACACCCCAAAATACAATTCACTATGGAAATAGAAGCCAACAACCAACTTCCCTTCCTTGACGTCCTAATCTACAAAAAACCTGATGGCTCCCTAGGACACACTATCTACCGGAAAAAAACACACACCAACCGCTACTTACATGCACAATCACACCACCACCCTGCACAAATAAACTCCGTAGCCAAGACTCTCATCTCCAGAACCAAACGCCTGGCTGACAAAGACCACTTGACAACTGAGTTACAGAATCTCTCCAATGTGTTAATCGCCAATGGATACCAGCAAAACAGGGTTACGAAGCTAATGCAAAAAGAAACACCCCCCAAAAACCAAGACACAGAAGAAAACAATGGCATGGCCCTCCTTCCTTATATCAAGGGCACTACAGATAAAATTAGCAAAATCCTCCATAAACACAATATCAAAACAGCCTTTTGCACCAACCAAAAAATAGCCAATATCCTCAGAAACCCCAAGGATAAAATCCAGTTGGAAAACCAAGGGGTCTATGAAATACCCTGCAAAGTCTGCCCAGCCACGTACATTGGACAAACAAACAGACGAATAAATGCACGTATCGCAGAACACAAGAATGCCGTCAAAAAAGAAGAAAAAACTTCCTCTCTTTTCCAACACATGAAAGAAACAGGACACGAAATTAATTTTGCAGATTCCAAATTGCTCTCTAACATGGAACATCACCACAAGAGAATAATCATGGAAGCCATCGAGATAGAGAAACACCCTCACAACATGAACAAGCGTGACGACACATCCCGCCTGCCAGACATCTGGAAATTAGCCCTCCCCACAAAAACCGACACCAGATCCAGAGGCACACAGAACGCCATCACCAATCAACCACACCAGACCCAAACCCAGACCCTCTCCACAGATAAATTACAGACACCATCCAGTAGCCAAACCATGGTGGCACCTCCGGATGCTGCACCCCCCTGCAATCCCTACACAGATCTGGCTGGCACAGGACACAAAACCACAGCTCGCCCCTATACACGAAGCCAAGCCAGAGCACAACTAAATGCAGTACAGCCATCTTCTCAGAAAAACTCTTCACAAAGTTCAAGAGGTCAAGACACGAAGGCTTTAGCAACTAATCCACACCTAATGACCCACCTAAGTGGTACTCAGGATATCACTCAAGAAATCACTCAAGATATCCCTCAAGTAATTAAGGAACAAAAGAAGAAAAGGCACACTAGCCTGGGAACTTCCTCTCTGCCCAGAACATTGGAGGCTATACACCACACCCCCTCAACAGTATTTATAGGAACTCAAACACTGAGATCCTGCTCTGTTCCAGTAACAAGAAGCCGAAAGCACCAGCCTGAAGATGACGAGTGAGACCTCGTCGAAACGTCGCCTAGACACCCCAACTTTTACACGGGAAGACACCCGAGGACACCAAAACCTGCATTCCTGTACCCGTGAAAATCTACGAAAGCATATATATATATATATATATATATATATATTATTTGGCACTTTCCACAATGTCTCAAAGCAGATTCAAATACAGCAAGAAAATACAAAAAGCCAGATTTGATCTAAAAAGTGATAAAAAATATTGTAAAAATGATAAAACCTACCACAGCCAACTAAAAATTACAACTACAATCAGGCCAAATATGGTCTTGATCCCTGCAGCATGATTCCATTTAACTAACAGCCTGGATAAACATAAGTGCCACAATTCCACAAAGGAGGAGTGACCAGTTAAAATGCCCATTCTTGTGTTGCCACCTCCAACACCTCCCCCAGAGGTGGGTACACTGAGGAGGTCTCTGATTATAACTACAAGGTCCATGAAAGTTCATATGAGGTGACGAAAGCCCCTAAGGTATTGAGGTTCTGAGCAATGTAAGGTTTTATGGCTCAAAATTAGCCATCATCCTTCCTCTACCATCAAGTTGTCAGTAACAAAGTTCATTGAGTTCTATTTCTTTTTATATACTGATCCGATTTGATGTCTCTCCCATTCTTTCAGTTTCTGGAATTGTAGTACATACAATAATGAGCAAAATAAAAATCCCAACTGACTGTTTTTGAGCAATGTTGTGCTGCGTATACTCCCAGATTAGTTAATTCAAAAGGAAAGGATGCAACTCTCTGCTTTAATCCCATGCAATACATTTCCTTGACAGTAGGCAGACACCATACCACTTTAAACAATTGTTCTGATTAGTTCTACGTTTCCCCTAGACCATCCTTTGAACGTAAGGCAAAGCAATGCCTTTTGAATCCAGCTAGCAATTACCAGTAATCAGTGTAACTCCTCTTGCATTATATGTGAGCACAAACATAGGGAGGTATTAAAGTAGTAGCCCTATGATGAGGTATTAATTTTGTGGTAAATAAACACAGAAATCACTGAATACCCCAAAGCTATATTTATACCTACAGAAACATGCTTGCACAGGAGGATACCAGGAATTGTAGCCTTGGCATGCTACATTCATCTCCATGGTTTCATCAGGAAAAGAATACTGCTTATTACAGGCTACAACAACACTTGTTCCAATCTTATACTGATGTCGCAATGGACGCACAGTCCCACTTGGAATTAATGGGGCACCGCATAAACCTGGATCAACTGCAACAAAAAAGTCCCCACAAAAATTGTAAAAATAAACATTGTGTTCCATGAGGGAAGATGAAATATAAATGTAAACAAACAAACTTGTTCTAGCTAATTAAAGATGAGAACTTACAAGAGGGAAACTGAAAGAAGAACTGGCCCTTTATAAACAACACACATTCCTCAAAGTGCATTCCGCCAGGATGTCAAATATTCTTTTAACCATTCAACAGTCACACATACTTTGTTAATGCTATTCAACAGGATAAAAGTAGGAGAGAATTTGGGAGATGTCCCTTCTGATGTTGAATTTATAAAGTGAAAAGCACATGTCCACATTTAGTAAACCATCTTTTATCACTGACTGAGGAAGCATAATTGCTATTTGAATGCTTTGATATTCTTACTTTCTTTACATGAAGGCAGCGCAGGATACCAGCTACTGTTCGCTCCGCATTTAATCAAATAATTTCCCATCAGAAAATATCCAGTTTTGCATTCAAATCTAATAGTGTTGCCATATGTATACGAATGTCCAAATCCGCTTAATATTAATCCATGTTCAACTACTGGATCTTTACATTTCACCACTATAAGCAGACAGGAATATTAAAAAACAAAAACTAAGAAATAGAACATTGCATATAGTTTATTTACATTTTCTCAAATGTCAGTATATTCTGCTGAAGCCTTATTAAAAAGTTAGTTTTCTAAAAAAAACCAAAAACCTGATACTCACTGTCTGGCTATATGTTACTCTGTGCCCTATATCTTCTATGTCACACGTTCTCTACAAAAGCTGTTACTAACTGCCCTGGATGTTTAAAATAAATAAAACTAAAACGTGGCGTCACTTGTATTAGAATTGCTGATCTGTATCTAATGTTTAAATTGGTATTCCAAACAATTACAGTACATATATATATAGGAACATGTGCACGAAAGCTTATACCCAGAACAAACTTAGTTGGTCTCTAAGGTGCTAATGGACAATTAAAAAATATATATATATTTTGACTGCGTCAGAGACCAACACGGCTACCTACCTGAATATATATAGGAAATAATCCATTAAGGAGATCACAGGTGGGATCTTCTAGAAACCTCTCCAAGGTTAACAATTTATTAGCTCCAAGTGCTAATAAACATATGGTGACAGATCCAGTACAGAAATGCTAAACAGATACTATGGAAGGCCGATCCATCCACTGACCATTAGACCACAAAGCATGATGAATGGATGAATGGATCTTTCAAATGTTTAGATTTTGCAGAGAAATGGCTTTATTCACAGCTTTAGTCATGATTTTAAAAAAATGAACTTCTCTCCCAATGCAAATAGAAGCCATATAAGGAAACAAAGCGTGAACCCCACTCCCCATGCCATGATCGTGCATCCAGTCTATCTCCAGCCCCCTTTGTGTGTATAACCTGATAAGTGAGTCAGTGAAGGGTTGTGATTTGAGCAAACTCATAAATTCATTGATTTAGCCAAAGCTAGGAAGTAATACTGGCTAGCTTCCTCATGAGACCAGCCTGGCAATGGCTTGCTGGGAGTGCATCTTGAAGAAACAAAAGGCTGATAGTGGTCTGGTTTGTGCAGCCATGCAGGCTGGCTGGACCAGGTTGTTACAGAGACACATGGGGATGGCACTGAATCCAATGCTGTGCAGCTGGGAACGACAAGCCCCTCTTGAGATTTAAATGTTGTGAACTCTCTCTCCATCAAAACCCAGGTGGTAAATATGTGTAAAATAAAGTCTCTGCTGTGCCTCATTCTGAAGGAACACAAACTGTAATCTTGCACACATTCAGCAGAGGTTAGGGTGACATGTAAAACTGTCACTGTGGGTACCCTGACTCCCCAAAGTTTCTGTGTGCCCTGACCCCCTCTAGATTCCTGAGTGGTGGGGTTTAGTCAGTGTTTTGATAAACATGGTGAGCTAAGTGGCATTGGATTTAACAGTGCAAAAGGGAAGCTAAATTTATTTTCCAGTCCAGGGCATCACCTTGGTGGAGGGGGTAATGCTGGAAGTGGAAAGGGATGGGTTGGTTTGAAATTGGAACCTAGAAACAAAACCACATTCTCTCTGAAAAGTAGCAGAGAAGGAACGGCCTGTAGAGCTAATAATCTGCTAATGCACGTTAACCAAAATCAGGACCACTAAGATAGCCAGTTTATACAAAACCTAGAACTGGGGCATGGGCATGGGCATAGCAGGGGGCACAGGGGGCAGCTGCCCCCCATAATAAATAAAAATCAATTAAAATAATTAGCAAACTGATGTTCTCTCCCTCCCCCCCCAACAAAAATCCTGGCTACATCCATGAACTGGGAGCGTGGTATATAGCCTCACTGCCTGTAAACATTGGGGCTTCCCCATTCGCTTCTGTATAGCACAAAAGTGAAATGCAATGTTTACTGAGATAGAGCACAAACATAAAAGGAGAACAAAAGTACCTCTGTCAATCACTCCACACATAAAATATCATTAAACAACTTAGGGATTCTGAACATGAACAATGAAGCTTAATATCAATTCAAAGCCAAATAAAGGGAGGGACAAGAGGACAAGTATACAGCTATCTAGAATAAAGTTCCCTTTTAATATATTATGAATCATAATATATCATGAATGAAGAGTAAAAGAAAATGCAACCTTTGCATTTAGGGAGCTTTCCCTTCCACACTCCTTTAGTATCACCATCCATGCCACAGGAAATAGAGTGTGCTCCAATAAGAGAGAAATTATCATGGCAAGTGTATGTTATCACTGTTCCAAGAGCATAAAAAGAGGCTCCAGTCCCATTGTGAGATCCATTAGAAATGTTTGGAGGAGTTCTACAGAAGAAACCTAGAAACATATCAGAAAAAGTTCATATTCATAATGCTATAATGGTATTATATTTTGGTTATTCAATTCTTGATACTTTAAAATATTAAAATTTATTTAAGCATATTGTTGGTTGACATCCATCTATCTTGAGAGACAATGGAGTGTGCCTCCAAGGACAAAGTCAAACTAGTGTGTTAACAACACTGAAGTGACCTTCCCAGGGCAGTGTGTATACAGGTCCTGTGCTGCCCAGATGACAAGTAAATTTCTATTTTATTTTGTATAATGGAGGCAAAATTGTAATATTAGACCAAAATTGGGGGAAACCAATAATTATTTCTCTTTAAATAGTTATTTGCAGAGTCATACATATGGGAATTTACCCACAGAGATAGAATCTTCTGGAAAGCTCTAAAATGATGAGAGAGGGAGCTCACTCCCTGGTTTTAGGGCTGAGCAAAACTAGTTCAGGGAACAGTAGTTCAGTCCCCAAATGGAAACAACTATCCCTGTTTCAGGGAGGGAGTTTTTACCTTTTAATGCCCCCATCCCATTTTAAAAGCACTCTTGCCTCTCTGTAAAGGCACTCTTTCTTGGAGAGGCTTTCTACTGGCCATTACAGTATTCTCCTCCAAAAAAGATGCAAGATGATGCAAGTTGTAGCACTGTGTAACATTGTCACAGTGCCTTCTAGGAGGAGAATGACTGCCTGGAGGAATGCTCTCCAATTCCTGTGCAGCTACAGAGAACATTAGTTATTTCCCTTCAAAAATCTTCCCCAGCTTCAGTGCCATTTTTAAATCTCATTTTTATATAGAAAGAAATGGTGCATTGAAGCATTTGGAGGGTAGGGTAGTTGGGATACAGCAGACAGAACTCTGTTCTGGTTGCTCCCTCACAACAGGCAGCATTTTTAAATGGTTAACAAAAAGATGCTGCCACAACAGGCAACATTTCATAAGTGTTAAAGTCAAAAGGAATAAAAAGAGAAGGAAGCCTCTACTACTGCCATGGTAAGTACCTCTCATCCAAAACACTTTGTTCCCAACCCCAACCCGCCCCCCCCCAAACCCCCCACAAATAACTGAAATCTGGACCTGGCTACTTATGAACCGGATGGTCATTTTGTCTCAGCTCTGGAAATTCACAATACAGTCATACCTTGGGTTGAATGTGCTTCAGGTTGAGCGCATTCAAGTTGCGCTCTGTGGCAACCCAGAAGTAACGGAGCGCGTTACTTCCAGGTGTCGCCACTCGCGCATGCGCAGACACTCAAAATGATGTCATGTGCATGCACGGAAGCGGCAAAACACGACTCGCGCACTCGCAGACGCGTCTTATGTTGAGTTCAGGATGTGAATGGGGCTCCGAAACGGATCCCGTTCACATCCCGAGGTACCACTGTACCCTGATTTTATTACCTTTGCAGAGTCTCCCATGTGGAGACTAGAGCTAATTCATCAGGAAGCAGGTATAAAAGTGCGCCAGGCATACAAGCTCCTATGCCATAGGGTTGGCATACGTCTGGGAAATCCTGGACATGTTCTCTTTTGGGGGGCCAACATGCCCATCTGAGGGGATTTTTATATTTTAAAGGAAATGTCCATTTGGGGGGGTATTTATTTATTTATTTGTTTGTTTTGGCTCAGGCAGCTCAACCACATTTGGCTTTGCACGCCACAGCTGCTGCAGCATAAACTGGGGAAAGAGGCTCGCGGGTGCAGGTACTTTGCATGGTATCAGGGAAAGGGAATTGCAATCTGGAAAAGGAAACTTGAGAGGAAGGAGTAGGAAGTATTTGAGCCATAAGATCCCTGCCTTTGTAACCTATCCTAATAATATCCACGGGCATGGAAGGCAGATTGAGTATATGGATAAATAATAATAATCAGGGACCTTACTGTGAGTGTCTGCTATAAATTGCCAAGCCAGACTGAAGACTTGGAATGATGCCGTCCTAGAGCAGATTACAAAATATTCAAAAAGGAGATACACAGTAGTCATGGGAGACTTCAACTGTCTTGATATCTGTTGAAACTCAAATTCTGCCAAGAATTAAGGTTCAGCAAATTAATCAATTTCCTCACTGACAAGAGGCATGTGAATTGGATGATTTGCCAGACATTGTCTCTGATAACTTATTGCATTCATAGTTTGTGGCAATATGCCAGTGACAAACTGGTATGAAAATATGGAATAATTGAGCATGAACACAAAATGAGCCAAGATTAAGTATCTATTTCAAAGCGCATATTCTAGGTTCTTTGGGGATTGTTGTAGTTGCTAAAACACAGAGAAACCTGTTTAAGTAAATAATATGATGAAATACCTACCCTCTAGTCCACAATACTTTATATTTCCACAACAGTCTAACTACACGTTTTGTAAATTGCACAGCTGGCAGCTATTGGTGGGTACCAAACACCGCATTAAAAAAAACCACACACCACCAATGCAGTCTTTTTACATGCCAAAACACTCTCCCCGCCCCCAGGCAACCAAACTATTCCTCAATAATTTTCCCCATGCGCGCTTACTCCGGAGTAAACGCAGCTGGCTGGGCAGATTGACAGCCTGGCAGAGCCAGTCGCCTGTGGATTTGGAGCCCAATTTGTTCTGCTTTCAGCGGAGGGGGGGCGGGGCCTCGCAGCTGAGCAAGGAAGGACACCTCGGCGCCACCTGGCGGTATGCGGGGGGAGACATCCGAGTTTACCTCAGGCGCCTGGAAAGACCCGCCCATCGCGCGCCGCGCTTCGTGAAGCCTCTGGCAGCACGAGGGGAGACGGCGGGAAGGCGAGCGGAAGGGGCAAAGGGAGGCTCAGCGGCCCCTAGAGGCTCTGTCGTCGCCTTCCTCCCTTGTACTCACGCACGCCATCCTGAGGCAGGGACCACTGAGGGAGCAGTAGTATCGATATCCCCGTTAACCAGAGAGCCCGCAGAAGCCCCCACGACGGCCGTTGCATAGCGCTGGCCTGAGAAGCCGGCGACGAGCCAACTGCGCATGCGAGGGTTGAGGGAGAACGTTGGGAAGGAGCTGCGCGGCGGTGGCGAGGCGCGCGCGCGCTCTACGTTTCTACGGGTCGCATCCACCACGCGCGTTATCACCTGAAATAGACTAACAGGTGGCTCCCATACGACCTATTTAATAGATCCTTTGGAGCTGGCACTTCCTTGTTACGTCTCCTGCCTCTCCAGGCCCGCGACAGCTGCAGTAGCTAGTGCGGACAAAGTAGCTATTCATTCACGGTGGTTCATGTCCCTGTATAGAGGAGCACCTTCCTTGTAGAAATCTGCTACCTTGTACCTTCTAGCTGACACATTAAAACTTTAATCTATTCTAATTTTAGTTCTATCCATCCTTGAAGAGTGAAGTTTTACTGATTTTCAGTAAAACAGAGATTGCTTTCTAAGTATTTTTAACCAATTATTAAATGCTATGTCTATAAAGGGAAAAGCATACTAGAAATATTGTGAGAGGCTTATGAATAATTTAGAACAATCCTTCAGTGTAGCTTTATTTATTTAAAGCATTTTTATACTATTTTATTTTGTAATCCAGAGTTGTTACATATTCTAACATGAACATACTACACCACAGCCAACCCTCCACAACTATTAGGATTGTCCCACCACTCCACTGCCTGTGGACTGTTGGCCGTATGATATTTCTAGTGTATGAATTTCTACAAGTAAATAAACACAAATTGCTTCTGTCGCCTCCCCCTCTGAAGCCTTTCCTCAACTGAATGCAAACAATTACTTTTATTCATCTAACATGTAAAATGGAGGTGCCAAATAAAAGCAAAAGGCAGAGAGCATGTGCTACCAGCATATGGGATGTTTTAAGATCCCATAGGAACTGTAATGGAAGCAACATAAAAGACAATTGTATTTTTCCAGGAAGGAAGAGAAGGTAGGAGGGGATGGGTAGAGATTAATGGGCTTGACAGTGGTTTCTTTACTTCATTGCAGCTGTTCTCTAAGGAACAGTAGAAGTAACACAAAGACAGTCTGAAGGGAACATACACAGTTGTACTATTCTGCTACAAAGGAGCAAGTATCTATAGAGAGAGATGTGTGGTTCTTTACAGAATCCATGACAATATTGTGAACATCTCATGTAGAATGAATACTGCCTGCACATATCTTTGATGCAATGGCCATTAATTGGTTGTAGTCTGTTGCAATCTACTTTCAATCTAGTATGCTTCTGTTTCCTAGTTTAGATGTAACAGGAAACAGGGGCTTTAACAAAACATGGTCTTAGCACACAAAAAAGCATACAGTAAAAGAAAATTGAAGTGAGTAGGGAGTATGCAAATATAATCCTTGTTCTAAAACTGCCAAATTGTACTTTATTTAGCTGGGATAGTTGCATTTAAATTTGCCCAAGCCTAAGTCAGAACTATCTTTAAAAAACTACTGTATTTAAAAAACAATAAAGACATTTTTAATTACTTTACTATAATTTATCATGATTAAGTTAGAGTTAAAATGTATCCTGAAATACAAACTAATCATTACTCATAAACCTCACACTCATCTACTTGCCAACACAGCACATTACTCACACTCATCCGTTTTTACCTTTTGTTGTCTTCATCAGTATCAAATTTTGCAAGTTCTCAGGGGTAGGGAACCAGCCATTTGTTGCTACTGCTGCTTATATTATTCAGGAAAGTCCACACCTGAAGCAGATTAGTCAGCTGCAGTTTCTACTGCTCAGGTTTCCCCCCCCCCCCCTGGTCTTGTTCTCTGCCTAGCAGCTATATTACATATCCACACAGTGCAGAGTTCAACTATAAAACTCACTCCTATAAAAGGCAATGATAGCCAATGCAGCAAGGCAAATACTTTCTTATGTATAAAATGGGTTGAAACTGAACACAATTTCATTTCACTATAGATTACAGTCTATCTAGTTTACCCACTATATTTTACATATTGAAGAATTCTGATAAACCTCTTGATATTTGCACCCATTGAATGTAAGCAAAAAAGCCTCAAAGTGGCACAATGTCTAATAAGCATTTTAAAATGTTGAGATTTGTATTCATGTATATGCTTTATTTCTTGCAAAATAATATATACAACACAAATTCAACCTTAAAGTATTTGATTCACATAAGTACAAAATACTCTTCAGAATTTACAGTTTATCCCTTGTAGCTTTAAGGAAGTGGTCAATGTAAGCCTAAAAAGAAAATAAACCAATACAAAATATTATACAACAACACTGGTAAGTTACTAAAATGAAAAGTGACTTTAAAAGAAGCAGCTGTGTGTAGCACAGCTAAATCATAATGAGCTGTGCTGATGTGCTTATGTTTACAACAGCAGAACTACTAAAATGTATGGGCATATGGGAATAAAACTATTTGTAAAATCAGGAAATTCTTCCAAATGTTTAGTCAAAATTTCCTTGCACCTTGAACTTGTTGATAATGCATCATCTATGTAACAGGGTTTTACCATGTCACCTGTTACCATGTCTCTTCTCTAGCCTAAGCACACCCAACAGTTATTTGGGACGGACAGTTAAAGCAATGGGGTCTGAGCTCGCCAGAGGGCAAAGAGGTGAAACTAGCTATGAAACATAAGTGAGCACCTATAAGCTCTGGCATGTGGAACTTGATTTCTGAGGACCTCACATGGGAATGTAGTATATGCTGATGGCTGGTGCTATGCTGGAAATGCCTTGTTGACCAAGATGTGCAGCAATTATTGTGTTGCATTTTGTGAAAATTCTGTGAGTTGTGTGGCTAAGAGCCAAACACCAAAACTCTCAACTGAAAGCAATGGTCTGGAAGGAAACACAAATGCTTTGGTTGAATTGAGATATGAAAGCAGACATCTTTTTGGTCTGTTGAAATAAAGCCTGACTTGATAATGAGAAATGGGAGGAGGCTGGAAAAAACAGCAATCTAGAACTTTTGGGGGTTTATGAAGGAAGAGAAAACCCAAAGTGTCATGCATCTGCTAGAGGTATCTTTCTTGGCAATGGGAAAATTCTTTGAAGGGTACAAGCCTTTGTACCCTGAACTCTGTTTCTACTGCCCCATTGCAGAAGAGTTTTTAAATCCTCCTCTAAAGCCAAGTACGAAAATGGAGAATGACAGAGCCTTACATGGCTCTGGAGTCACAGTCCATCATATGATTAAAGGTGTAGATTTCTTGCTTTGCCAGGCAATGCTGGTTGTGTGAGCCATCCCCTGTCATCTAGGAGATGCTTGAAGAAGAGAGAGGATTTCTCCCAGAGATAATGTTGATGCTGAGAAACAAAGGCATGCACTGCAGAGTAAGAATGTGGCATTAGGTTAAAACTTTCAAACCATTACATCCACCTTACATCCCTTCTCATTTATCTGAGCCAAAAGGGATTGTACAGCAAGGGGAGCAATAGTTAAACCACATGCATGGAAACTAGCTGACAAGCTCTCTCTCATATGTTGCTCCAATGTGCAAATACTTGCTGCAGGGACAGCCATATTGGCTGAGAGGGACAGTAGCCCAGGCAGCAGAAGAAGAATAATGAACAAAGGTTTTTATTATGTATAAATCCAGCAGAACCCAAGTCATTAGTCTGTTTCCCTGATACTTTTTTCCCTTGCTTGCATTCTGAAAATATGGCAGTCAAGTTAGTCTAAGTAGGTGCACTGCCTCACAGTCAAAGGAGCTGCCTCCCTGGCATGGTCTGGAACTGAAACTAGTGAGTGTTAATATGAAAGTAGTAAGACCAGACTTAAGGGATGTAGCAGTTGTCAATGGCCTGGGTCCCAAAGTGGATAGTAAGGCTCAAGGGGACTGTTACAGTGCTTGCAACTGTATTATATTGGAGAGCCCTATGAAGGTGAACTCAATTCAACAGAAATGAAAACTGCAGAGTTTAATTGCATAGCCAGTTTTTGTGGGTGTGGGATTGGGCGACTCCAGCAGAGTGAGTTTGCTCTTACAAAGTAAGCCAAAGGCAGTGGATGTATTTTGGTATGCTGGTCTTGTAAAATTTACACAATGGGTCAAGTGTCCAACGCCTGCCCCTTTTCAAAGCAGAGAAGCAAACAATTATGACTATCTGAATGACAAAGTTTGCTGCCTCGGCTTATGTACTTTGAGAACCAGCACTGAGGTGTGCTAAGAAAGCATAGAGAGAAGACTGAGGTAAAATGAAATGCAACATTTGAAAGGAAAAGAACTGCATAGAGATAAAATAAAACAGGGGGGAAAACTTTTCAAAGATGGGACCAATGCAGTGGTCAATAATGAACCAAGTAGGAAGACAGGGGCATACCACTTGAGGATATATATTAAGGGCTAGAAGCAGACCTGCCACCAAAATGTTTTAAGTGCCTTCTGCAAGAACACCCCTGCACATTAGTGTCCTCTAGATGCTTTCTACTGCAACTCACATCAGTCTAGCCGACTTGACCAATGCTCAGGGATTATGGGACTTGCTGTCCAAAGCATCTAGAGGGCACTAAGTTAGGGAAACCTGCTCTAGAAAGTTGCAGATGCTGCTCTGTGCAGGCACAGAACCCATATGAAGGACTGTACAGAGACCATAGAATAATCCTGAGTACAGATGCTGGGGACAAGCAATAGGGGAAAGCTATCATCCTTATACTGTGCTTATGAGCCAGTTGCTCCTAGAGAAAAGGGCCAGACTTCAAGGATCTCAGTTTCACATAGGAATGCACTTCTTATCTTCTTATCTGAGACTAAACAAAGAATGCAAATTATTCAGTTTTATGAAATGTTTGTATAATTCACCAATTTAAGAAACATGAGTGTAATAATAATAGTAATAGTAATAATAGTGGTTAGAGGTCTGTCAAGACTTAGTAGGTTTTCCAGTATCTAGTAATATTTTTTTGCTTACCAATGAAGATCACATGGCACCCTTGAGCAGGCACCCTACTTCACAAAATGCCTCACTGGATTCCTTGGAGCACCTTCAGAAAATTGTAGTCAAAGAACAGCCGGAGGACACTATGTTTGCCATCCCAGTTTTAGATTTTCAGGTGTTGAGAAGCTTAACATAAGCTTTCATTTATTGTCTAAGCCAATACAATATTTATAACCTTGTGAGAAAACAAAAGGGAGAGGGACGGTGTCCACATACAGCTGTGTGTCATTAAATTTCAGTGGTAATTCCAGTTTTGCAATTGTTTTTAAAGCAAAAGCAGCTTGCAGAGTGAGGGATCTAGAGCAGAGAAGAGCTTAACTCTTCCAAAGCCTGCTGCTTCTCTGCTTCATATTTCTGCTCCCATCCCACATGTGTTCAACTCTGAAGACTGATTTAGAGCAGAACAGTGGTGGGCAAAGAAACCATCTTTGTTCTAAATTTCCCCCTTCTGAGGTGGCTTTTTTCTTCCAAAAAGTAACTGTTGGGATTGCAGTATGTGCATCTGCATCTAAGTTTAAATTGGCCCACAGACCTCTACTCAAGCTGATGCCTACTCTTTAATTTATATATTACTACACTTACAGAATTTCCATATTCATTACTTAAACATTGAAAAGTGGAATCTGAAAGAGATACTTAACTGTAACTGTGTAAATTACAGGTGTAGGTTTGAGGAACATTGTAATTAGTGAATTGTCATACTTCCATATGTGCTTATTTACTGAATGACAATAAAAAGATATAACACTGGGAAAAAATGAACAAAAAACGATTCTGGTGTTAAAGAAACCAAGTCAGACATTTCACTGATACAATTATAGTTTTATTTTTTAGAATGATTATGGCTATAGAGTCAAAATCTTGCCATTTCAAAATGGGCTACTGCATGATATGCGCCATAAAAATACACATAGTAACACTTACCTGTAGTGTCAAGGGTCTTACGCTCAGTCCACAAGAGAAAAAGGAGACTCACACAGAGGGTTCCTGTGGGATACAACACTATGAAATTCTACTTGTACATTTGGTGCAGTGGCCTTTGCTGAGCATCTCAGCAGAGGACTGCCTCTGTCTTTTAACATGTATAGGGGTATACAGGGTCAAAAGAACAAGAAGAAAAAGAAAGAGAAAATAAGCAGAATCTACCCAGTTGCCTTCACTGATTGGTCCCTCCTCATGCAGAGATGATGTTGGGTTTGCTTCATCTGTTGTTTCCTTGGCTGTATTAATGGGAAGCTTACTAAAACTTACTAGCTTCTCCTGCTGCCTTCCATTTTCTTTCTGGTGTTCTAGCTCAAAGTTTGCCACTGACTCTTCCAAGGTCTCGGGCAACAAAATACCTTCTTTGGTTGCTGCTCTCTTTTGCCCTCTCTCTTGCTCTCTCTTTACCATTAGGCTGCTGGGGAATGGAGGTGTCAGGGTAAATCTGATTAAAAATCTTTGGAAAATTAAAAATAAAATAAAATCACATGGTACTGAAATTCTATCACTGCATGTGCCAGCTAAGCTTTCATTCCAGAGAAGGTTCTTTCCTCATTATGCACATTTCAGCTGATTCAGAAATGAAAAGTGCCTGTACATAATATATTAGGTATAGACAGACACATATATAGACAGGATAATCCTTCAGGTACCTTGTCCCATGAAGAGCAAGCCTAGAAACAGGCTTGGAGGCACAGGCACTGCAGTTGTTGAAACACTGGTATAATACATAATCCCAGTTAGCAATCCAATTATCTGAGGTTCTGAATTGCCACCATTTTGCATATCTGGAAGCTACTTTATACAACAGTTTCCCTAAAGGTATGCTCTCAGCAAGCTAAATATATGGTTTCACATTTGACAGTGTATGCTGATATATCAGTAAGATGCTATGTGTTATATGTGGCCCTTAAGTGTTACTATTTTAAAAAAATACATTTTCTTGATTTTCAAATATAGTGAAACAAACCATAATAGAAATAGAAATAGAAGAAATAGAAATATATATATCCCCATGTACAACAAATAGTAGCATTTTACTATTTGAACACCCATATACCCATATCTCAGATCAGCAACCCAGTCAGGTCATTCATAGGAAAAACAAAATTTGCACTGCAGTTCAGATGATACAGCATGGAGTGTTTCCTCTACATGGAGATAATTTCTGTGTAGTTAATGTATAAGGTAGACCTTAGAAATGTAAAAGAAACAGGAAAAGGGGAGTTTGATATTAAGAAAAAAATTACCTTTCTTGTGAACAACATTTCCTATGAACCATTTTACTTGCCACGAGTACTACAGGCATTATGCATGCTAAAAAAGAAAAAGAACACAAGAAAAAAGGCTCATGAAAGTCCAAGAAAACTGATGTACAATTAAAAACAGCCATTTTGGAAATTTTATCCAGTGTTACCTGAGGCATAAATAACAGTACTTCATTATTGAATACTGTTAACAACAATGTGACATTTGGTGATCACTAGACTATTAGTGGCAAAGATTGGTGAGAGGCAGGACTTTTATGTGAATCATCCTACCAATATTAACTCTAAGAAAAATTAATGGATCGTTAATTCATCACTCAGCAGATTTGCTTGCAGAATACTTACAAATCCAGTCTTCATTGAGCAATTGTTCTAATTTGTTTTTGGAGAAGTTTTGCAAGAATGATCATTTATCCTGATTTGCTTGCGGGGTGTTTAAATGCCTTCCCACTAGTCATCCATGCATCACACACCTACCTTTCAATGCATTTCCCAGTTACTTTCCAAACAATAAAAAGTCTGATTGTTTTTTAAAGTGTATTTGTTCCTTTTAATCCATGTTAACTGCACAAACATACAGTTCCAGTGTGAGGCTGCAGTATTCTGCAAAATCTAGAGTCTAAAGTAACACAACCAGTGCTATTTCTCTAGGAAGAGAAGTGCCAGAACTCACCATGAGCACCTCCCTTGTTCTCTTAGAATGGCCATGGCGCCCACCTGAGAGGTGCCGGGACTGAGTTCTGGTGAGTTCTGGCTGGGGAAAAAGCCCTCCACACAACTTTATTTGTTCCTGGGGTGTGTGTGTGCAAAATACTAATTTTCTCTCTAAGCAGTTTAAAAATGTAACTCAAAAAGAAACAAAGCAAAACCTACAAGTTACTTGCAGGTTTGTGTTTAGATAATGATGACCAAAGATTTGATCACTGGTGAAAAACTTCTGAAATGTGGAGGACTGTGAACACAGCTGGTGATAGTTAAGCATAGGCTTATATCTCTCTTATAAAATAAACTTTAAAATGTGTATTTCTGGCTGGAGAGTGCTACACTTTCTATTTTGCTATTGTGAAAAAATCTATGAACTGGTATAAAACCTTGGCATGCAAACATTTATAATGAATCTTTTTATTTTCCCCATTCATATTCAATAAATTACATACCAGCTATAAGCAATCTGAGGAAAATACCTAGAAAAGAGGAGATGAAAGACTAATTATTGACAGGTTACTTATTTAGACTTAGCCACATCAGAAACGAATTATAAAAGGAAGTACTGGAGCTCAATATAGATCTCATATCACAAAAGGTGGATTTGAGCACAAGAGCACTCACCCCTCCTGTGGTTTCCAGCATCTGATATTCATTTTTTAAAAATAAATTTCATTAGAGTTTATAAAGAGAAATACAAAACCTGATCTCAAATATCTTTTTTGTCCAAAATTAAGATAAAAACATGACAAAAAAGTAAAAAGATAGAGAAATAAGAAAAAATAAATAGAAAAGAATTTTCAATAGGAAATAGAAAAGATAAAGTTCAGAGATTAAAGAACTTCCCATTCTTCATCTGTCCGCTATAAACAATAATCACTTCATCTATTCCAATACAACACCAAACAAAACCGCTTTCTATCAACAAACCTTATCTTCAACCCCCCCATCCATTATTTATTTTTATTTTTCATGCAAAAAGTCTATGAGATCTTTCCAGTATTTAGTAAATGTCAACAATGACTTTTATCTGATTAAACATGTCAATTTTGCCATCTCAGCTGGGTCCATTAATTTAAGGTTGCCATTTTTCAGAAAGTGACCCAAAAGTTGTTTCTGACGGCCAAATCCCGGCAATCTGGGAAATTCTGGATATATGGCACCCCTAGTTAAATTTTAAAAACCATTCTTCCATTGTTGATAATGATTAATCTTTCCATCTTTGTGCATATAATAGTCTCGCCACCGTAATCATATATTGAAACAAAGTTCCATAGTCCTTTTCTAATTGTGTATCCATGTCCAAGCAGGAAGAGTTTCAGCCAGCAACTGATGTTCAGAAGTATTGCTGCCGCCAACTGTCGAGGGCAGAGCATAGCCACTGTGGCAACTGGCCATCGGTAGACCTCTCCTCCATGAATTTGTCTAATCCACTTTTAAAGCTATTCAAGTTGGTGACCATCACTGCCTAGGGGAGTGAATTTCATAGTTTAACTGAACACTGTGTAAAGAAGTATTTTCTATTATCTGTCCTGAATCCTCAAGCATTCAGCCTATGAGTTATAGGGTTATGAGAGAAATGAGAAAAAACTTCTCTCTATCCAATTTCTCCGTGTCAATTTTTATAAAATTCTACCATGTTGTCTCTTACTTGCCTTCACTCTAAATTAAAAAGTCCCAAAATGTTGCAACCTTACTTCATAAGGGAGTCGCTCCTTCCACTTGATCATTTTGGTTGCCTTCTTCTGAACCTTTTCCAATTCTACAATATTTTTTGAAGTAAGGTGACTGGAACTATACACAGTATGCCAAATGTGGTTGCACCAAATATTTCTATGTTGCCATTATGATCCTGGTAGTTTTATTTTCAATTCCTTTCCTAATGCTTCCTAGAATGGAATTAGCCTTTTTCATGGCTGCCACATACTGGGTCCACATCTTCACTGAGCTATCTACTATGACCCCAAGGTCTTGCTCCTAGTCTGTGACCTCCAGTTCAGACCCCATGAGCATATAGGTGAGATTTTTTTTGTCCCAGCAGGCATGACTTTATACTTGTTTACATTGAATTGTATTTGCCATTTTACCACCCAGTCGCTCAATTTGAAGAGGTCCTGTTGAAGCTCTTCGCAATCTCTCTTTGTTTTAACAACCCTGAAAAAATTAGTATCACCAGCAAACCTGGTCACCTCACTGCTCCGTCGTAATGCTAGACCATTTATGAAGAAGTTTAAAAGCACTGGTTCCAATACTGGTCCTTGGGAGACTCCGCGTTCTACCTCTCTCACATTATGGTTCCCTCTCTAGAAACCTAATGGATAACCAGTATTGGTTAGAGTGCTGATGTTGTGAGCCTTATTTCCTTATGCTCAGTTAGTATATATGCATAATTAAAAGTCTTCAGTGACTTTCATTCTAATGAAACCAAACCTGACGTAAGCACTGGCACCCCCAACATCTCTTGGCATTTTCACAAATATTATACTTACTCAGTTCACAAACTGGAATATTAGGTGACCATTTACTCCCACCAATGTAAGTAATTGTAGATGGCCCGAGCAAAGTATACCCAGCATTACATTGAATAGAAATTTCATCTCCAGGGGTATAGTATTGTTTCACCCCTTGGGTTATTCTTCCATTATGGATATAGAATTTAGAAGTGTCTGGTGATGTTTTTGCTGAAAACACAAATAACTATTATAAATGATAAAGCAATGCTTTGTTTCTTTGTACAGTGGTACCTTGGTTCTCAAACTTAATCCATTCTGGAAGTCTGTTCCAAAACCAAAGCGTTCCAAAACCAAAAAAATCATACTTGTGCAACTTGTGCAAGATGCATAATGTTCTACACCAAAAGGTTAAAAAAACCTCTCTGATGTATATAGATTTGGAATATACTAAGGGTTTAAGCTTAAGAGTGAATGCAAATATCTTCAAATTTAATAGGAGAGCTGACCTTAGCCTGTCTTGTTCATGACGTAAAATGATTCAAACAGGATCCACTCTAGCTGGCACCCTCCTCTACGCTATCTCCCTTCTCACAGATGTATTCAGACTGTTTTCCCCAAATGATAGCTTTTAGCAGGGGAAGGAAGAAGCTTAATTGTTTCCAAGATGACACCATCCATAATGGCATGTAGGCTTTTGGAGCAGCTACTCCAGAAAACATGCTCATAATACATGGATTTTGCAGATTTTCTCACTACTGCATGAGGCAAAAGTTGCAAGCTTTGGATGGCCCCAACATTTTCACCCCTCTAAATTAAAGGTAAAGGACCCCTGACAGTTAAGTCCAGTCGTGAACGACTCTGGGGTTGCAGCGCTCATCTCGCTTTACTGGCTGAGGGAGCAGACGTTTGTCCACAGACAGTTTTTCACGATCGTGTGGCCAGCATAACTAAACCGCTTCTGGCAAAACCAGAGCAGTACACAGAAACATCATTTACCTTTCCGCCAGAGTGGTACCTATTTATCTACTTACACTTTGATGTGCTTTCGAACTGCTAGGTTGGCAGGAGCTGGGACCGAGCAACGGGAGCTCACCCCGCCATGGGGATTCGATCTGCCGACCTTCCGATCGGCAAGCCCTAGGCTCAGTGCATCCCAAATTTGCTGTCTGAGGTAAGGGACTGAATCTGTTTCATCATCAGAGTGGCCCTCTTGCCTCTTCCTCCTGGGAGGAAGGCCATGTTTGAAAAGCTGAGTGTGACGTGTCTTATTAGAAACTTGGGATAGCCAACTTTAAAGCAATATGATTGCACTTTCTCTTAACTTCACCCAAAAACCTCAACAAGGTAGTTATCTAGTAATATACACAGCACTCTGCTTTCCAACATGAGCTAAAAAGCCATTGTTCTAGTCCCATCCCAGTCCTGCATTATGAGGAATGAGAGGATTCAGAGACTATAGGTATATGCCCCAATAGGATTATACAAGGGGAAGGGATGTAGCTCACTGCTCAAATCCCAAACGAAATGTTTACTTGATAGCAGACTAGGTACTGCATCACTTAAAATAATTATGCTCGTTTTATCTACTTTTTTTTTTTTTAGAACAGCCTCACAGGGCTGTAGATGGGGGTGAAGATTGACCATCTGTGATTTACAATAATGGGCAACATCTATATTGGGTATGGAGCAACTGAGGAAGGAACATATTTGTTTGCTTCTCAAACTGGTTCTATACATACCCAAACATAGTGGTATAAAAGGATCCCACTGATTGTAGCCTTGGCATCGCACACTCATCTTTGTGGTTTCATCAATGAAAGAGTAGTTTTTATTGCAGTACACATCAATGACATCTCCAACATTGTATTCAGATAGCAATGGATATACATGTCCTTTGGACACTACTGGGGCACCACAAATATGTGGAGTAACTGTAACAAGAACAATAAAGCTGCAGAAGATAAAAATTATTGTCTGTATAATATTAGCCTTGCTTTTATAAGTTTGCGGTAAGAGTCAAGTTGTAATCATAATATCATGTATCTGGATTTTTGAGCGTGGTAAGAAGACAAGGCACAAAACACAGTTTACTACTGATTCTTTCATGGCCAAACTAAGTAACCTTGTTCCACAGTACACAAGAGAAAACATTTGATTTTTCTGAAAATTCTCTTAAGTTTTTTGAGCAGTCACACATAGAGCAGACTTATAAAATAACCACTTGATCAGTTGTGCTGATGAGTAAGAAAAGCTCACAGGCAATCAGGTGAAGAAGCGTGATCTTTTCAGACACAAATGAATAACCTACATCTGTGTAACCACTGAGGCTACATATACTCTCTTTTAAGGTAGACATTTTAATAGATTCATTTGCAAGGCTGATTTCAGAATGTGGAATGTGCACATACTAGGCATGCACATGGGAAGGTTCCAGAACTTTGAAAGAAGGAAACATTCTCATGTCATCCTCCTTGGCTGTCTAATTCATATTGGCTGGAATTCAAACTGGTGCTAAGGAGTTCACTCTGTCAGCACATTTCTGCTTGCCTGATGAAATTATCTCCCCTCTCCCCACCCCCGTTGCCCCCTGTCCAGGACTCCAACCACTACACACAAAGCCCCAACATTGCCCTGCTTGAACCCCGTCCAGGTAATCAGCAGTGACACCAGCATCAGGAGGGCAGTTCCACTCAGTCGCATGAACTGCTACTGTCTGTAACCTCACTGACTGAACGTGCAGCTTTGTTCAGTGACCTTATCTGGAGTTCAAAGGAGATAACTTAAAAACAATGCAAATATGAAGATTAAAGGTAAATACTGGCTAAGAACAGAGAAGATGTAAGGAAAATAGGTAGAAGGATAAGAGCTGCTGGCTGAAAGTAGAAGTAATGTGGGAGTGAAGATAGCTGACTGCTTCACTACAAGGCAGGAGTGAAAAACTGGTGCTAGGAGCATCCCACTTCCCTGAAACCTTTTCGCTCCTGCCTTGTCCTGGACAAGGGTTATCACCCAACCCAGTGCCTGAATGACACCAGAAATAAATGTGTTGAATAAATATTTTTGATTTTGGGCTGCCTCTCCTTCTGCATTAGTGCACCATTTTTACAATAGTGTTCTCTGAACTCGGCCAAGATCCCTACATGAGACATAATAGAGAAGAATGTCAATATATACACTTCAGCTTAAAACTCTACATGATACATTATTTACTCTTTTATAACACAGCATTTCTCCAAGTTTAAACAGCTTCTAATTGTTGAATCATAAAATATAAATGTAAATCCTGTGATTTTTTTCAAAGTCTTACTTTTTTTGCAGGATGGCACTTTAGGGACCCAAGTACCGTTCTTCTCACAGAGAATGTAATGATTTCCAATCATGAAGTATCCAGTTTTACATTCAAGTGTAACACTGTTGCCATAAGTATAGGAATCTCTTAATCCACTTAATTCTATTCCATTTTGAACTCGTGGATTTTCACATATAACCACTGAAAGTAAGATTAAAAAGCAAAACTCCTTAAAAAATAGAATCTGTGCATTTCTATTTCCTTAAAGATGGGATATTTTCTTATGAAGCTTATTTTTAAAAATACTCTCCTGTTTTCCTGTTTGAAGAATACTTTTGTAGTGTCTGTGCAGTGAAAATTAGTGGTTGTGAAAATTAGTCCATCTCCTGCCAGGGATCCAGATTATTTCCCCCTGTAATTAGCACTTGCACAGCTGAAAAAATACATATTCCCAGCAATCAGACAGTTATTGGGAGAACGAGAAATGTCAATTAATTCTGTTTATGTGATTGCCATTGACACCTAACTAGCTAGCATCTCTTTGAATCAGGAGTAATGAGAGAGATACATTGGTGGGCAGCAGGTGAACAGCAATTCCAATACCCTATTAAGAATGTGCATTCTGTTTCCCTCCACCTCTGGTCTACTTGTATATTTGACAATAAACAAATCATCAATGAAAGAAAAACTGCTATAAAAATGACCTGTGCATTTGGGGGGGGGTTCCCTCTCCACAGTGCTTTACCATTATTAGCAACAATGTCACAAAAAATGGAAGGTGTTTCAATAAGCAAGAAAGTATCATTGCAATGGTATTGTATCACTATTCCAGTCCTGTTGTGAGATCCACCAAGAATGTCTGGAGGGACTGCACAGGAAATTCATTTTAAAAAATGAACAAGTTAGCAAATAAGTGAAACTATTACTAGACAACATAGAAAAATCCAAAATATATCATGCAACTATTGTTGCTTTAAACACATTAACATTTCTTTTTAAACCATACAAATAATTACAATAAAAAACAACACAGCCCCAGACTTTTTATTAAAAGCAGTCAGTTCCCAAAAAGTATTCACCTGCCAAGACAACAAGGAGGGAGCCAGTCTACTTTCCCTACAGAAGCAGTTCCGAAGCCTGGGAGCAGCCACCAAGAAGCCCCTCGCCTGCATCCCTACCAAGCATGCCTGTGAGGGTGGCAGGACTGAGAAAGGGCCTCCCCATAAAATTTCAAAACCAGGCATATTTGTATGAGGAAATATGGTCTTTCAGATAGCTTGGACTTAAGCTGTATAGGGCTTTATATGTCATAATCAGCACTATTAATTTTTCGTGGGAACAGAGCAGTAGCCATGCAGCTGTTGTGACAGGGAGTTGACTATAACTCTATAACCAACCCTGATCAACAATCTGACTGCAGCTCTTTGAGCCAGTTGGAAGTTTCTGAGCACTTTTCAAAGACAGCCCCACGTGGAACATGTTTCGGTAATCCAAATGGGATATAACTAAGGTATGTGTTCACTGTAGACAAAACAGGCATCTCAAGGAATGGGAGCAACTTACTAGATTCCACAAATAAATTGTGGAATTTTGTGTTCCACATCAAATGGGAACAACCATAATAAAACAGACTCAAAATTGGCAGGGTTGGGTAATGACCAGAAATTGTGATTCTTTAATAGGTTACATGTGGAGTCACGGATTTGGGAATATTTGGGAACACAGACTACAGAGCTTCAAAAATGAGGCAGTAAACTTCACTCCATATTCTCATTTATTTTCCTAGAATGAATTTCCTGGTTCAGATGTTAATAGGGAACTCTGGCTTATACCAGCCAGGATTGTCACATAGAAGCCTGAAAAATTAGAGTAAGCTTTTAGAAATAACCAGTTTTTTAAAAAAAATAATTAAGCAGCACATACGTTTACATGGCTCTTCCAACTCTGTCCAGGAACCATCACGACAGTAAGTGACGGTGCTTTTACCAGGCAATCTTACAGCACCATCTTTGCATTGGTATATTACAGCAAAGCCAACAAATTCTTCATACACCTCAGAAAATGTAAACTTTGGTAAGTCATCCATGTTGCAGGCCTCTCCACACACTTTAAAAAGACAATAGTTAAAAATGTTACAGAAAACCTTGGAACTGAAAATGTTATTCACCACTTTGCTATATTTAATATTTTGTCATGTCAACCAACAGAACAAATATTGGGGGTATAACTAACAGAAATGAACATGTAACACTTCATAATACCCATATGAAAGTGTTTCAAGATGAGTGCATGAACTACTGTGTATTAGCAGACACCTTCAGTTTAAACCTCAGTCTCCTTGGACCTTCTCCTGTGTGAACTCCAGCAAAACTAGCACTGATGCTCCCTTATACAATACACATTTTCTTCATTTCAAATGAAGAGTTCCTGCTGGAATGTCCCCCAAAGGAGAAGGGCAAAGCAGTCCTAATAGCGGGGAGGAGGAGACATGTGCTGGTGCTACCAGGTATGTATATCTGCAATGTGGTAAAACAAACAGCAAAGATTTGGCCATGGACAAGTGAGGCACAGCAAACAAGAGAGAGAAAAAGAGAAGGTCAAATATTTAAAGTAAATAAATGAATTGATCATAAATGAAAGCTAAAATAAAACCAAAGTCCAAACACAATAAAACTTCCACAAAGTTTTGAACTGAAATGTATCCCACCAACCTATTACAAATATAAAACATTTCTGTTTCAACCCATATATGTATGCTGGGAAGTCATGACTAATTACTATTTCCAGCCTCAGTGAAACAATGCTAAATAGATGAGCATGCACTTCTCACATATGTTGCTGTCAGAGCTGCCTTAGGTCCCAGCTCACAGAGGACCAACGCCAGTCCGTTGTTATATAAAATAGTCTTTATTGAAGTTCAGTTTCTCTTTTACAGCCACGGCGCGCAGCTCTACGTCTTAAACCCTAGACTGCCGAAGCTCCGTCTGAGTCTCCTCCCCCCAGACACCAGTTTAAGACCCTAGCCTTGCTCCACCTCTTCCTCTGCTCCCTCCTCCTCTGGATCCGCTTGTCCGCCGAGGTCCTGCCCTTCCTAGACTCTTCTGACGCTGAGTCCCCTGAGTCTTCCCCCTCCCTCCGGCGAGCTTTAGGACCTGGTTCCCAATCCGGGCTTTCTGCTGTCCCGCGCGCCTGTACATTTGAACTTGGCGCGCGCGCCCAGCCTGCCACCTTCCTTCTCACCATTATACTGCTCCTGTCGCTGCTTCCCTCTTCGGGGATGCTAGCTGGGTCTGACTCCCCCTCCCTGCTTGCCGGAGGAGACGCTGACTCTGACCTATGGGGCTCTTCCCCCCCACTACGCTCTGGTGGGGAAGCTGGTCCTGATTTCCAGCTACTGCTTTGGGAGTCTCCGCTGGCCCCCTGCTTCTGGTGTGTCCCCCCTGGGACCCCCCTTGCCTTGGCCATCGGCGCCCCCTTCTGGGAATCTTCTGATTCACTGGAGAGGCTTATGGAATCTCTCGGGTCACTGTCATTCTGCCCTCCGCTGCCCTCAGATTCTTCCCCTTCGCTCTCCATTTCCTCTCTCCCCTGCGCCTCTGCTCCTGAGCCCCTGACAGTTGCTATACACATTTGATGTAGAAACATCACCATTTACAATGCAGGTCCAAGGCTATAATATCAAAGCAGGGTTCTGTGACCAACAACACAATCCATGTTTACTTTAAAAATAAGCCTCACTCTGTTTCACTGAAACTTAGTCTAATGTTGCTATGCATAGAATTGTAGTCCAAGGGAATGTATGGAATATTAGACTGAAAACTAGAAGCCAGTTACAGCTACATTACATATATCATCCAATCTGAAATTGGATTAGTGGACTACTATTGCAAGTATTGGTATTGAGAGGCAATTCATATCATTTCCACAGAACTTATTTTTTGAATGCACTGATAATCAAATAGACTCCAATCAGATTTAAATAAATAATGAAGACATGGAATATTATTTAGTAATTATTATATGTGGATTGTAGCAATGCTTCACTGACGAACTGGCATTTCAACATCAAAATAAATAAACAGGATACTGTAGCTGTGAATGGATACAAAATGAGCAAGGTTAACAAGTACCTTAACCTTAACAAGGCTAGTAATGGGTATAACACTTCCACTATCTGAAGCGTATGGCTTACAATAACACCTGCTGGATATCACCAGCAAAGAGTATTAATTCACTGTTTTTGAGCTCCCAAAGCTATTTAGATGGCCACTGAGAAACCAGAATTGGAAGGGGACTTTTTGTTGTTGTTGTTCAGATGATTTTATATACAACAATATATTTATTTTAAAAAATCAAAGTGGTGTTGCTTAACTCACCAAAGCTTTTCTTACACAAGTTTTGCAATGATTTAAAAAAATGGTCAGCTCCATGTTAAAAGCTACAGGGGCGCCTTGCATACTCGTGATCATTGATGTTCATCACATTTCAACACTGCTTGAGCCTCCAAAGTTTTCAGCCAGTCATACTCTTTCTCTTCCAACCAATATGCATACCTGTAATTTCCTGCTGAAACCCCCTGCCACATAGAATCATAGATTGTAGAGTTGGAAGGACCATGAGGGTCATCTAGTCCAACCCCCTGCACTGCAGGAACCCAACTAGATCATACATGGCAGACAGTTGTTCAACCTCTGCTTAAAAGCCTCCAGTGAAAGAGGGACTCCCTTCCACTGTTGAACAGAAACTTATTCCTGATGTTTAGTCGGAATCTCCTTTCTTGTAACTGGAACCCACTGGGTCGGGTTCTACCCTCTGGATTAGAAGAAAACAAGCTTGCTCCATCTTCCATGTGACAGCCCTTTAGATAGTTGGGAGATGGCCAGCAAATTGGCGAACATCAAAGAAATACTTCTTTGGATTGATCTCTTTACTCTCAGACTCTCCTTGAGCCTCTGCAACACTGTTTGCTCTCTCACTCGAGAATTTGGATTAGGTCAACCAAATTGTTTTTATATATATAACTATATCTATCTATATAACTATATCTATCTATCTATCTATCTATCTATCTATCTATCTATCTATCTATCTATCTATCATGAGTTAGTGAAGCACCACAGAATAAAGTAGAACAACCCCACCGCTAATGCACTATTATTGTGTCAATCGCCCTAAAAGACCCTTCTGGGAGGCACCAAGGTCTTCCCCATGCGTGCTTCCTCGGGAGTAAGAAAGGCCGCCTGGCAGAGAAAGGCCCCTGCCGACGGAGGCCGCAGCCTGGGACGCGGCGGGCGGCGCGCAACCGCCTCGCGGCTGAGGAGGACGGACACCTCGGCGCCACCTGGCGGGCTGCGGGGGGACATCCGCGTTTACCTCAGGCGCCTGGAAAGACCCGCCCACTCGCGCGCCGCGTTTTGCGAAGCCTCTCCAAGCTCGAGGAGAGAGGGCGGGAAGGTGAGCGGGCGGGAGGGGAAGGGGCAGGTGGCGGCGAGAAAGGGAGGCTCAGCGGTCGCTAGAGGCTCCGTCGTCACTCGCCTGCCTTCCTCGTACTCACCCACCAGTCCCTGAGGCAGCAGCAACAGCATCGACATCCCCAAGAGCCGGCGGGTCAGCAGAAGCCCCCAGGACGGCCGTTGCATAACGCCCAGCTGAGAAAGCGGCGGCGAAAGCCGAGTACCTCAGCTGCGCGTGCGAGGTGGGGGGCGGGGAAGGACGTTGGGAGGGAGCCGTGTGGCCGTCGGGAGGCGCGCGCCCAACGCTGCTCCGCTCGTGCTACCGGCATTTCTGCTTGGCCTTAGAGAGGAAGCAGACTTCCAATTCTTGGGTTTTGCCGTGGCTCTGGAAAAAAATAGAAGCAAAGATTCTCACATTGAAGCATCGTTGCGTGTGCGAAACGTGGTTGACTTGGGGGTGTTTTTTGGTTGTTTTTTTACAGAGTTTTGAAACATTTTAAATAATTCCTTACCAGTGCAAACACAATGCATAATTTTATCACGCTGTTTCTGGGGCAGGAGGCAAACCTCTCTGGCTGACAGGCGGCAGGTTATGACAGGACATCCGAAGTAATCCAGGGTTGTTATTCCAATGTTGCTTCTCCCTAGTGTTGTCTTCTTATCCCGGAATAGTAAAATGTATTCCTTGGTCACATTTGCCAGGCTCCATTCATTTTGGTATTGAGGCACTTAGAAACCTGAGCATTTCAAAATTGAAATTCTATCTCAATTTTGAGATATAATTGAATATCTGTTTTATGAGTGTCTTAGTTAGGCAGACTGACTATAACTAGAAAAGTAGGCTATACATATTGTGGGAGAGAGGCTGAGGAAGAATAACGTTTACACGCAGTGTAGGTTTATTTATTATGTATTTACTAATTTGTTTTTGCAACCATAGCCACACATGTACAACAGGGATTGTTAAAAGTGGTGCCATTTCCCATACCTATTCCGCTGTGAACTCTTGGATGTATGCTATGAAATTTATTTGGTTCATTACAGTTGTTTTCTGTATAACAGTAGAAGCAACAAGAAATAGGAAGAACATGAAGCAGATGAATGTAGTTCAATAGATGATTCAACCATACAGGAGCAAGTTATAAAGATAGCTATGTGCTTCCTCACAGCATACCCCTAAATCTATTACAATCCTGTGAGCAACATTTGCAGAATTATGGCTGCCTGCACACATATTTGATGCAGCCGCCGATAATTAGTTGCAGACTTCTCTGCTGAGTGCCTGAGGGCCCCAGTCCTGCCACTCACCACCTGGCCTAGGGTGGGCACTGATGGGCTCTATAAAGGACTGCTGCCGCTGCTCCTGCTGGGCAGAGAGGGCTCCGTTTTGTTTTGTTTAAATTGCTGTTATTTTTTACCTATGTAATTTTAAACTGTGATACTAATGCTGTATTCTTAGTTTTAGATTTTGATATATGTGGAAATTGTTTTCCATTTGGTTGTGTATTTTTTTGATGTGGTTTATTTATTGTTTATGGCTTTTGTAATTATGTAAATCTTGTCATGTTGTAAGCCGCCTTGAGCATTATTTTTTACTGTGGAAAGGAGGCATACAAATAAAAAATGATGATGATGATAATTAGTTGTAAAATACATGGCCAAGAGGGGGTCATGTCTGGGCAGCCCTGGACCTCCATTCACATTGCACTGGCTTGTGCCCAAAGACATTCACAGACTCTCTTGGCAAGGAATTATATTGGTTCTCTCACCCTCGTCCCTTGCACCCTTGGCAAATAGATGATGGCCGCCCCGAGCAGCAGAGGAGTGGCCCCAGAAGTGGGTGGGTGGGGAGGCTCCTAGCCACTCCAACTCAGAATGAAGAGGCACAGTTTTTGCACTCTGCTGGGCCTGCGCCCTTCATGGGAGCCAACATAACTAACCCCTAGGTATGCCCTTGCTGGCACCCCAGAGAGGTTACTTTGGTGCTGCTAACGCAGCAAAAACAATGAGGGAGACATACAGCCACAGCAGGCATGGTAATCCCAATGGTTTGACCTCACCCCTGAAGGCACACTCTTCCATTTTCTCCCTAGACAGACAGATGCCAACCACATGGCCATATTTATCATCATACAGTTGCACCAGGGCCCAAGCCTGCAATGGGACCCAAACTCTGAGCTTTCGCTTAAAAAGAGTAAGTCTCTAGCCCTAACAGGAGGAAAGCTATAAGGCAAAATGTGCAGCAACCCTTCTAAGCCATTTCTTTGAGGTAAACCAGTCTGCACCTGCCTTCCTGCAATGAGTAAAAGCACAATGAGTGCTAAGTCAAGTCTGAAATGTGATTGTTGAGTGAGTTATTGGACACAAGGCCGGGGTCATAACGAGTTGCTGTTTTCTCCCCTTTAGTGCTCTTTTCAGCTTCTGCCAGATTTTCTAATATTCCTTAGAATCTCCAAAATACCTACTAGATTCTCCCTTTGCCCTTCCTTTCTTCCTAACAACCAAGATGTATCTTTCCTCTTGTTTCAAATATAGGGCCACTGCAATGGTTAAGAAGGAGCTGAGGGAAAACAGGGCATACTGCTTGATAAGGTGAGCTGAAGGGAAATCTCAACTGCATCTCAACTGCAATCAGATCTAGCGAGCATGACCAATCCTCGGGGATTATGGGATTTGCAGTCCCAAAGTATTTGGGTGGCATGAAGTTAGGGAAACCTATCCTAGAAGGTTCCAAATGCTACCCTATGCAGACACAGAACCCATATGAAGGACTGCACAGAGATCACAAAGAATTCTTGAGTACAGATACTGTGGACAAAAATGGGAATGGATAAGATCATCATACTATGTTTCTGAGCCAGCTGCTCCTAGAGATAAAATGCTGGACTTCAGGGATCTCAAGAATGCAGTTTTTATGTCCTTATCAGAGACTGTAAGTGAAGAATGCAAATTATTCAGCTTTATTATATATTTGCATGAAGGAATTCCTAAATTTAAGAAAGAGGTGAATATAAAAAATGTAGACAATATGTAAACCAAGGGCACTATGTCAGCAACCTCAGCTTTAGATTTTCATAAAGAGTTAAAGGGTGCTTAACTTTCCCCAAAGCCTGCTGCTTCTCAGCTTCATATCTGTTCCTATTTCACACGTGTTCACTTTTTAGGCCTGTTTTAAAGAATTAGTGCGCAAGGGAATCCACTTCTTTCCTTCCTTCTCCTAAAATACCCTTTCTGAAGTAGTCTTTTTCTTTTAAATAATGTTGGTGAGGATTTAACTATGTGCAACTGCATCTAAGTTTCCATAGAATCTGAACCAGGCACTTACCTTTACCTGAGTAAATTAGGTTTAAAAGATACTGTAATTTGTGAACTGTCATACTTCCTTGCATGTGTGTTTTTACTAAATGACAAGAATAAGGCACTATTAGCAAAAGATGAAAAAAGTAGGTTTTAAAGAAACAAAAGGTGGACACATTTTAAAGGAAGAAAAGTAGATCAAACTGAGCAGTGTTTCACTGATACTGTTATTTTATTTTTAAGGTGATTATTGCCCTAGATTCAAAATCTTGCAATTTCAGAAGGGACTATTGCATAGTATGTGCCTTTGTTGCTTTCTTCATAAAACTACATGTTGTAGCATATACCTGTCAGGAATATTATGCTCAATCAGCAGGAGAAAGGGGCAGTTCACACAAAGGTTTACTGTGGGATGCAGCACTATGAGATCCTACCTGTACAGTTGGTACAGTGGTTTTTGCTGAGTTCCTCAACAGAGTTCTGACTGTCCTGTAACATGTAAGTAAAGGGCCTAAGAAGGGGAAGGAAAGATGGGTCAAAAGAAGGAGAAGGAAAAGAAAAAGAAAGAGAATAATAAGATGATTCTACCCAGTTGCCTCCACTGATTGGCTCTTCATGTTGTGAAGATTATGTCAAATCTGCCTCATACACTGTCCCTTGGCTCTGTTACTGAAAACTACCCACTGGAGAAGACTGGTTTGGTTTTCCTCCAGACGTCTGCTTTCTATCTGGTATTCTTGCTCCGTTTCTGCCTCTCCTTTATTTCCTGCTACTGCCCAAGTGACAACATTAGTGACTTCTGTGACGTCATTCATGTGCCACATTGTTCTCTTTTGGTAGCCTGTCGGAGAACAGAAGTGGCAGAGTAAATTTGATTAAGTCTTGGGATTATTATTATTTAAATCACCTGGCATCAAAATTATATCAATGAACACGTCAGCTAAGCCTTCATTCTGGAGAAAATCCTTTCTCCAGTATCCATGAGACCTCAGATAGTGATGAAACTCAGAAAACGGCCTCCACTTCAGAAATTTGTGTATGGACAGGACCATGTACAGACAGGATCATCCTTTTGTACCTGGTCCCAAGATGTGAACAAGCTTAAAACAATTTGGAATTGTGGGTAGAAATGGGCTTGGAGGCATTGCAGTTTCTGAAGCACTGTAGGGTGAGAAACTGCTAGCTATTCTAGCTGGGCCTGATAGGACTTGAAGTCTATAAACATTTGGAGGACCAAAGTTTCCACTATCCAAAGGTGTTATGTACTGAAGTTCTCACCCTGGGCCAGCAGGGGGATACTGTAGATAGTTATGCAAATGAAGGATCGAAAGTGACGTTCAGTGATTGGATAGTTTTAGAAAATGGCAACAGTTACATTGTTCTGGAGCTCTATATAAGCAGGCTGACTGAGCTCCTCAGTTCAGTTCTGTTCCAGCTTACAAATAAAGAGCTGCTTTGGAAGAATCGCTGTGTCGTCTGATATGTTTGCCCACAACTTAACAAAAGGAACAACCAGTGACAATGCTGAAACAAGGGGCAACCCTGGCCTGGAACCAGGAGCCATGTGTCCCATTTCGCCACTTGAGGTGCAATAAGAAGTGCTGCCTGACCTCCTGCCGGTGGAAAAACAGCACCAGCATTGGCACCAATTGGCTTCACCATGCCTCATGTGTGGGCTGGGCAACCCCATTCAGAACAGAGTGAACACCAATGCCTAGGTAGATGAAGCATTCAGATACTGTAACTTGACCTTGTCTGGATATTCAGCAAAAAAAGGGGAAATTAATACATTTTTTGTTAACAATATTTGGTAGCTCTGGTTTAATAAAAAAAGTATATTGCATTTCCTTTAAAATTTCAAAACAGCCCCCATAGCAAGGTTGTGAGAATATCAATTTATTATCTACAAGGAGAGTATATTTATTTAGATAAAATGTTGTGGACCTTAGAAATGCAAAACAGAAAGGAAAATAGGAGTTTGGTGATAAGAAAACTTTTACCTTGATTGTGAACATTTCTTATAAGCCCATTTAAGTGTCAGGATCAATACAGGTAATATGCTTGCTAAAAAAGAAGAAGAAACACACACCACCATTCTAGTAAAAAAACCCACAAAAGGTCAATAAAATGACACATAATTAAAAACAGCATAGAAAATGCTCTGCAAATATTACTAATAAACATTTCACACTTGAATGTACTTAACAATAAAATACATTAAACTGTCATTTGGTGGTCACAAGTCATTCTAAGACCAAACCACTTATTATTAGGGTGTAAAGATGGGTGATTTGTTGTCTTTGTTGTTTTGTTATGGGAACCTATCTGAAATAACTATGATGCCAAAATTATAAAATTACAGTTTCACAGACAGGATTATTATGAAAATGATTCTACCTCTTGGAATGTTAAGGTAAAACTTGCCAGCAAATTTATTTGGATTGCTTCCATAGGGGGGAAATACGAACTGTACTTGGAAGTAAACTCCACTGAGTTTAAAGATGTATCTCAACCCACAGAGGAGATTAGACAAATGATGAGCAAAGATTTGAGCATTGATGCCAAGCTTTGGAAATATGAAAAATTGTGCACACTATTGGTGCTTTGTAAATGTTTGGAATAAAGTGTGTGTGTGTTTATATGTAAACACACACAAACAGTCCTTGAATAATCCAGAGTCAGTGCAACAAAAAGAAACTCCTATTTAGGAAAAAAAAATAGGGAAAACATCTAGAATCATCAACTGACTGTAAGCACTTTTAAGGCCCAATTTCTTAAATCTCTACAATGAAACTTCAAAATACTTATCTCTGGCTGCATAGTGCCCAGCTTTCTATGACCCCATAATATTATTGCCATTTTTCACATAGCAATGTTTTATACCATTTCATATTTTTTGCATATTAAATTGTATAAAATATCGGTATGTAAAAAACTATAATGCATCGCCATGTTTCCCCCATTCATTTTCAAGAAATTACATACCAGCTATAAGTAGTCTCAGGAAAACACCTAGAAAAGAGGGGGAAATGGTTCTAATAAGCAAACGTCTCAAAATAAAACCTTGTAAGACTAATTATAGAAAGGCTACTCATTCGGACTGGCAACCACATCTGAAATGGCTTATAAACTGAAGTACTGCAGCTCAAGGTGCATTTTGTATCAGAGCTGGTGGATATGTTTACTTAAATCATTTTCACACACACACCATATACCGTACTTTTCGCCCTATAGGACGCACTTTTCCCCCTCCAAAAATGAAGGGGAAATGTGTGTGCGTCCTATGGGGCGAATGCAGGCTTTCGCTGAAGCCTGGAGAGTGAGAGGGGTCGGTGCGCACCGACCCCTCTCGCTCTCCAGGCTTCAGGAAGCGATCTGCAAGCCTTGGGAGCCCGGCGGGAGTTCCTGCGGGCTCCCTAGGCTTGCGGATAGCAGCCTGCATCCCGAAGCCTGGGGCGCACTGAGCAGCACGCCCCGGGCTTCGGGCAGATATCCGCAAGCCTGGGGAGCCTGGCAGGAACTCCCGCCAGGCTCCCCAGGCTTGCAGAGAGCTCCCCGAAGCCTGGGGTGTGCTCCGTCTCAGGATAGCGGCCTGTTCTGAGGGCTGGGGTCAGGGGAAGCTCAGTGGGGGGGGGAATATTTTTTTCCTCTTTATTCCCCCCCCCAAAAAAACTAGGTGCATCCTATGGGCCGGTGCGCCGTATAGGGCAAAAAATACGGTATACTCGACGGGCACTTCAAAAATTAATACTATATTAAGAAACCACACGGGTTTAAAAGAATAGATGTTGACTTTACATGACTCAATCTCAAATCATTATTGTTTTTTGCTGTGGTAAGAACTTCCTTTTAAAATACTAAAGTTGCAAATATCATTTTAAAATGAAATACTTGAGGATTATGCAAACCATTTAGATTCTCATAAACCGGAAACTTAATTTGTTTTGTTGTCTGTCAGCTATATCAGACAACTACTTCAGAAGCTTTTGAGAATGTGTGTTGGGGTGGGAGAGGAAGTGCAGAAACTGTTGTTTGCTTTGCTGTCTGCCAATCACATGGAGCAGTTGGCAGGCAGCTACTTGAGGGACTTCTTGAATATGTGTGCACGGTAGCAGGTTTTTGCCTTCTTAGTAGTGGCACCCATCCTGTGGAATGCCCTCCCTTCAGATGTCAAGGAGATGAGTAACTATATAACCTTTAGAAGACATCTGAATGCAGGCCTGTATAAGGAAGCCTTTTAACGTCTAATGTTTTATTATGTTTTAATATATGTTGGAAGGCGCCCACAGTAGCAGGGGCAACCCAGTCAGATGGGCGGGGTACAAATATCGAAATTGAAATGTGGGAGTGGGGTAAGAAGCAGCTGCTTGACATGGGCCTCAGGTGGATTTCTTGCTCTGAAACTGAAGAAAGCAAGGAAGCAGGTTTTGATTGTTGAATGAGGTTGGTTAATTTGTATTTGTATGTTGACTCATCATTTTCAAATTTTAATTGTGGGTAGGGGCCGCAAAAGCTGGGAGACCCTGGTTAAGAGACAAATGCCCAGTTTCATTTTCTTAAAAGAGCCTTCATGAAGGTGTGTTGTGAAGTATAAAGCATTTCTTCAAATGTCTGTAAATAGTTGCACCTCAACCGTTTCCACTCTGAATGTGTTTTAGTCTGTAAATACCATTTCTGATAATTTTATTGGGTCTTGGGGTTTGTGAGTGGACAATTCAGCCACTAACAAGACCCAATTCCACATACAACTGGATATTAAATTTTCATTTAAACTAAATATCCATGCATACAAATATACATGTGTCAATACCCTAAAAGCATCAGTTTTAACTGAGTGCAAAATGTGTCACCATGGCTGCTGCATCATTAATGAGTAACCATCTGAACACAGAATTTAGCCCAATAAAGTAGACATTCCTGATCTGGCTATCCATGCTGGATGGTAACGGTTGGGACTGTTAGGATATTTCCATTCCACCTTAAAAGGGGACAGGCTGTTGTGAGTCACAGCCTGTGTATTTCCTGTTCACAGGAAGTTTCTGTTTTGTATATAGCTGTTGTTTCTCTCTCTGTGCCTTGACACACAGGCAGGCAGTCATGTTTTTCTTTGTTCTGACCAACGCTGAATAAAGTTGTAAATAATGCTCTCCTGAGTGCATCTTTCGTTGTGCGAACTCTGCGAAAGGGCGTGCACCAGTCCTTGGAATGTGGACAGATGTTTCTGAGGCTTGTGTCGCTAATTGACTGATACTGCGTTTCTACGGGAGGTTGATGGATCGTCCGGAGTCGACGTGGGAGCATGATGGCCTTTGTCTCCCTGGCAGTATCCCAACAACAGGGACAACACTAGTTTCTATGTCATGTTTCAAACGACCACGTCAAAATTCTACATTCTGACTAAAGAGACAACACCTTGTGATCCAGCACCAGGAAATTAGGATGCAAAGAGCAGTGCCTGTTCAGAAGTGCCTAGTGCTGACAATTTACAATATAGCCTTCAGAGAAGGTTGTTTGCCCCTGAATATCACATTTGGGGTGGGTAAATTCAGCTTGCAAGATCTTCATAGAGACTGACTAGGTACTAAACAAATATTACCTGAAAGATGTTATAAAAGTAAGAGGCAGAATAAAAATTCTCAAAGACTTCTGGAAGCTTGACTTCCCATGGACTAGCGGTGCCCAGGATTCATTCCATACCCACATTTTGCTCTAGAGGGTTGCAGTCCAGAGTTCTACAACCAAAAGTACTTCTACAGCATGGTTCTTCAAGAGGTTGTGAACACCAAGGGCCACTTTATGGATGTCAATGTCTGTGTTGTTGGGAGAAAACATGGTATAGATATCTTCCGGATGTCCCGCCCTTGCTGACAAGCCAGAGGCTGGTCCAGTCTTCCCTGGCCTAGTGGTGCTTGTCAGTGATTTTTCCATGTGCCCCCTCAACTTCACCATTCAGGCATTCACCTTCAAACCGTAGCTGATGTCTTCCTACAGGTCTACATGGATAGGCATGGACTGTACCTTCAGCTACTACCACAGTTCAGCTTGGCTACCTGTGAAAAGGCTTTGGCCATTTAAAGTTAAGGTGGAGGTCCCTCTATACCTTGCTAGATATGGATATCATTGTTGTCTCCTGTATCCTGCTCAAAAGCTGCAAGACAGGGGCCGGTATCCTTCTTGAGAAGCACCCTGATATGTCTAAGCTTGGAGATGAGATGGATGCTGTACCCATGGGCAGAGACCAGAATGTTAACACAGTTCCAGTTAACTGATGACAAGTATGTATGCATGTGTAAATAAAACCATGTATGTTTTTGCAGGTACCACCATCTTAGAGGTATGCATTTGCACCCCAAGACTCTCACCAGTCAGAGATTTAGCATTTATAACAGTATTTTCAGAAATATAATGCTTACTCAGATCACAAGTTGGAATATTAGGCAACCATTGCTTCCCACCGATGTAATTAATCTTAGGTGATCCGATCAAAATATAGCCAATATCACATTGAATAGTAACTTCATCTCCAATGTTGTAGTATTCTTTCTCCCCATAGATTATTCTTCCATTACGGATATAGAGTTCAGTAGTGTCTGGTGATGTTCTAGCTGAAAACACAAAAAAACTATTAAAAATAGTATAAAGCAGTACTAAACTGCACACAAAATAGGGGGGAAAATCATACTTGTGCAACTTGATTTTGCAAAATGCAGAATGTTCTATACAAAAAGTTAAGAAAACTTCCTGATATTATGTATAATATTGTGCTATTTTACATCTGTCAGAAGTGTCTGGGAGCTGCCATTAGGAGATCTGGAGTGAAGTGTCAACAATAAGCAGATGACACCCAGCTCTGTCTCTCTGTTCTAAGTGAACATTCATTCATCATCCAGGTGGCATTGCTACTTCTTTCTCCTGGGATGGGGCTAAAAGGAAGATTTTTTGGTCATGTTTGCAAAGCTTGGTGTGATGCATCCTATTAGATATTGATAGCTAGTTTGTAGATCCCTGGAAAAGGTTAAGAGAGGGTGCAATCCAGTTCACAGGCACAGTATTGTACCTTCTCTTTTACTTCTTCCACTGGTCAACTCTGCAACCCTGGCCTATTTGTCATGGTTCTAATCCCACCCCATTCTTGCACTGTGCAAAATGAAAGGATTCCAAAGTTGCAGCTTTTGCTCTATCACTCCAATGGATTTTTTCACTAAAGATTTGTTTTTATATTAAAAACATTGTACAAGAACTGAGTGGTTTGGAATACTTCAATTTCAGGCCTTCTGCATGCTGATGCTATTGCAGTTATCTCCACCACATTAATTGGAATATGGAAGTTACTGAGCAACTAAGTTTTGTGTGAAACAGCACCTATTATTACTGCAAAGACTAAAATTCTAGGTATTGGCAAGAAGAAAGCTCATATATGGAAGTTGGGCAATCCCACGGCCAGCCACATTCATGTAAGCCACATTCAATACTAACTTTCATGCAAAGGAACCCAGAACTGAATCTCTAATCAGGGACAGGATATGATGAGGTGCACACAGCAGCTAGCATACCACTAAAATAAAAATATCAACTGTAATTGGGATTAAAATATATCATTTTTAGTCCAATAGACCAATGCAGCCAATGTTCTGGAAAGCAAGTAAAAGCATTCACATAAATACACATGACAGAAGTCTGTCAAATTGTTCTTAAGATACCTTGGGGGGGGGAGCGGGGGGAGGGGATTAGACAAGGGCCAGGTTCAAATCCACAGTAAGCCATGAAGCTACCTAGGTGACCTTGGGCCATTTACTGTCTCTTGGCCCGAACAGCATTCCACTGTTGATGTACAGATAAAATTGGGAGACATAGACCTATGTACACCACCCTGATCTCTATGGAAGAAAGGTGGAGTATAAATGTAATAATGAACAAAAAAGTAAACAAAAAACTGCTAGAAGAATGAAGCAGCTTCAGAAGATGTCAAGACCACATATAATGGTGTGGGTGTGTCTGCCCATCTGTGATTTATCTGTAGATAATGGGAAATATCTGTCTTGAGTATGGCTTTAAAAGGAACATTTATATATGGATTTATATACATACAGAAACATGGTTGTATAGAAGGTTCCCACTGATTGTAGCCTATGCATTTTACAGTCATCTTTGTGGTTTCATCAAAAAAAGAATGGTTTGGATGGCAGTAAACTGTGACGGTATCTCCAATTTTGTATTCAGATTGCAATGGATACACACTCCCTTTGGGCATTACTGGAGCACCACAATTTTCCGGATAAACTGTAACAAGAAAAATAAAACTGGAAGATATAAATGCAAGACTAATAGCATACAATCTGTCACAAGATTCAAGATGTCGCCATTGTGTCAGGTACCTGGATTTTTGAGCAGGCTGTCCTAACCATTGGCGCTAGGGGTGCATGGCACCCGGGCGCCAGGCTTTCAGGGGTGCCAGACCAAGAGTCTGGGGCCGTGTTGGAGTCCGGGGAAGAGCCGCCAACAGCCGGACTCCAACGCTTGCTCCCAAACTTGCACCGAGCAGCCCGCAGCAGAAGAGCCTGCGGCGCTCCGACAGGTTCTGCTCCGCTCAGCTGTCAACTCTTCCCCCAGCTGCATGGCCGCTGTTTCAGTGCCGCGCCCGGAGCGCCAGGTACCGTGGGCATGGCGCGGTGCATCCTGTTGCATGCGCCAAGCTGCGGGTTCCTTTGCTGGCTTTTCCACTGTTGGCGCACACTCCCAGCACCACCCAACGTGGGGTGCCAGTGCAGAACAATGGGGAATGCAAGCGGTATCTCCAGACGGGATCTGCCACGCGCCGACGGCAACAACAAATCCTGACGAATAGGAGCATGCGGATCCTGTCCGGAGATGTTTCCTCTGCTGCCGCTTGCATTCCCCGTCATTCTGCACTGGCACCCCATATTGGGAGGCACTGGGAACATGCGCCGACAGCGGAAAAGCCAGCAAAGGAACTCGCAGCTTGGCGCATGCAACAGGATGCGCCACGCAGCGGCCACAACGTTTCATGGCGCTCCAGGTGCTGCATGCGCAGCCAAAACAGTTAGCCGCCATGCAGCAGGGGTGTGTGGAGGCAGCGGGCGGACAGCCCAGTGACTGTGCCACCCAACATTTTGTCATCATCCCCAGCATGGAACCCCCACCCACCTTTGTACACCCCTGTGCATGGGGCGCTGGCACCCCCGTTGGTTGGTGCTTTGAGTCCCTGCATCCCACAACTGTTCTAAAGGTAAACAACTATTTCCTTAACAACTTTGGGGTCCCCCCCTTAAAAAAGGTTGACAACTCTGGGCAACCTAGGAGCGCCAGGCGGATCTTTGCACCCCAGCACTGTATATGCTTAAGACGGCCCTGTTTTTGAGCTCTGTAAGAAGGCACAAAACAGTTTAACACCAATTACGTCATGGCAAGTCATGCATACCCTATTCTTTTGAACACAACAGGAGAAAAGTTGAATTATTCTTAAACTTTTGTTCTTGAAATGTTTTCTGTGCAGTCACACATTGGTCATGCTTGTAAAACAAATGCTATTAGGCAAACGGGATAAGAGTTACCCTTTCAGAAACAAATGACTAACATCTATGTGATGAGTGAAGCTACAAAATCTCTGTGTAAGCTAGATTTCAATGCACTTCTTTAAAATATTGCACTTGGGAAGGTGTAGGTCCTAGGCCAGGAGTAGGGAATCATCCACCCTCCCTTTCTCTAAGGAATGTGTATACACTGCTGTGGTGGGTATAAAGCCAAGGTTGGATTCACCAGCACTGGCTGAATGTGAGGTACTTCCAAGTTATCAGCAGTCAAGCTGAAGGTAACATGCTATATGGCGATAACATAGCATGGTGAGCTAGCATGGTAAAGTGCTAGTGGATCTCTCTAAACTTGGGTCTTTAGAAGATTTATTTCTAAAACCACAAGAACTGAATTATAGATTAGTTCATGATGCAGCAGCATCTCTTAGACTTTATGTAGCTAGTGTGTTTATTTTTGTCTTGTGTCGTGAGACATTAAACAGTTTTTATAATTTGAACTGAACTGTCTGAGCAAAGAGTTTTCTGAACTGGGAACTCTGGAAAAGGCTGACTACTGGAAAGAAGGAAGAACCTGACATTCTGCTCGATGACTCTGCTAGAGCTGTGCAGACTCTGTCGATCACACTGCTTGAAGTTTGGTATAGTATCAACAAACGGATGGTGGGCCCACTATATCAGGTTATTGGCCAACTGACTTCTATAAGTCTAGCAACGGTTCATGTGATGGGGCGGATGCTGAACACCAGCATCATTCTTGCTTACCTGGCTAGCACTGGGGCAGCAGCAAACTCAGAGCTGCACAGGTGCACCAGTGAGGCTGTCGCTGCCACTCTAGCAGTCCTATGATTACGCGCACAGCCCCAACCTTGCCTTTGCTGCTTGTAACTTAACTGAGCTGAACTTGCAGCTCCATACAGCAGCCTCTTTGGATTCCACCTTTTGATTACCTTCTGCCTTGGATTCCTTCATTTTCTCCTTCTAGCACTGGTGAACTCCAGACACTACTTCCTACTATGATTTTACTTTCTGTCTTCCCCACTGGAGTAAACACATGCAAAACTATCAAATGTCTTTTCAAATTTGGGCTGCCCCTTCTTCTGCATTAGTGAACCATTATTATACTTAGTGAACCATTAGTGAACCATTATTATACTTATTATATTATTAATTGTATATTATTATACAATTAAAGCTCAATAGGTTCTCTGAACTTTGGGAGATATAACACAAAAATACACCTTGGTGGCCAACATTCTTTACTCCTTTTTAAACATGTCAGTTCCCTATGTTTAAATGGCTTTTTATTGTGGAAAGAGAAAAATATATTCTAATCCAGTGCTTTTTTCAAAGCCTTACTCTTTTTGCAGGATGGCACTTCAGGGACCCAAGAACCATTCTCCTCACAGCGAATAAAATAACTGCCGATTAAGAAGTATCCAATTTTACATTCAAATGTAATACTGCTGCCATAGGTGTAGGAATCTCTAAATCCACTTAATTTTATTCCATCCGGAACTACTGGATTGGCACACATAACTGAAAGTGAAAAGTAAAATTAAAAAGCAGAACTCCTTAAAAACTAGAATATTTACATTTCTGCTCTCTTGAGAATGGGGTATTTTCTGATGAAACTTATTAAAAATTATTCTCTCCTAAATCATTAATCTAGCTCAGGAGTGGCCAACCCCTTTTTGGTCCAAGGGCTATGTTTACCATTGGCTAACCCAATAGCTGGAGTAATATATATTATCATTTAAAAAGAAATGTTTAGACTCACTTTATGTATTGGGTTGCTATAATTTTTTCACCATTTATAATTGTGCAACTTTAGTATAATCACCTAAAGGAACAGCCACTAAGGGTCAAATGCATGTTATGACAAGCACACTTTTCTTTTAAGTGGTCTTAGAACCAGCCACTTTCTGCAGGAAAAGCAGTCTCACTAAACTTCAATTCAGATTAGGATTGGCTTCACCATGCCTCATGTGTGGGCTGGGCAACCCCATTCAGAACAGAGTGAACACCAATGCCTAGGTAGATTAAGCATTCAGATACTGTAACTTGACCTTGTCTGGATATTCAGCAAAAAAGGGGAAATTAATACATTTTTTGTTAACAATATTTGGTAGCTCTGGTTTAATAAAAAAAGTATATTGCATTTCCTTTAAAATTTCAAAACAGCCCCCATAGCAAGGTTGTGAGAATATCAATTTATTATCTACAAGGAGAGTATATTTATTTAGATAAAATGTTGTGGACCTTAGAAATACAAAACAGAAAGGATGGATATGTTTACTTAAATCATTTTCACACACACACCATATACCGTATTTTTCGCCCTATAGGACGCACTTTCCCCCCTCCAAAAATGAAGGGGAAATGTGTGTGCGTCCTATGGGGCGAATGCAGGCTTTCGCGAGGCTTTCTCGCTCTCCAGGCTTCAGGAAGATATCTGCAAGCCTTGGGAGCCCGGCGGGAATTCCCGCGGGCTCCCCAGGCTTGCGGATAGCAGCCTGCATCCCGAAGCCTGGGGTGCACTGAGCAGCGTGCACTCCCCAGGCTTGCAGAGAGCTCCCCGAAGCCCGGGGTGTGCTCCGTCTCAGGATAGCAGCCTGTTCTGAGGGCTGGGGTCGGGGGAAGCTTGGGGGGGAAAATATTTTTTTCCTCTTTATTCCCCCCCCCAAAAAAACTAGGTGCGCCCTATGGGCCGGTGTGCCGTATAGGGCAAAAAATACGGTATACTCGACGTGCACTTCAAAAATTAATACTATATTAAGAAACCACACGGGTTTAAAAGAATAGATGTTGACTTTACATGACTCAATCTCAAATCATAATTGTTTTTTGCTGTGGTAAGAACTTCCTTTTAAAATACTAAAGTTGCAAATATCATTTTAAAATGAAATACTTGAGGATTATGCAAACCATTTAGATATGAAATACTTGAGGATTATGCAAACCATTTAGATTCTCATAAACCGGAAACTTAATTTGTTTTGTTGCCTGTCAGCTATATCAGACAACTACTTCAGAAGCTTTTGAGAATGTGTGTTGGGGTGGGAGAGGAAGTGCAGAAACTGTTGTTTGCTTTGCTGTCTGCCAATCACATGGAGCAGTTGGCAGGCAGCTACTTGAGGGACTTCTTGAATATGTGTGCACGGTAGCAGGTTTTTGCCTTCTTAGTAGTGGCACCCATCCTGTGGAATGCCCTCCCTTCAGATGTCAAGGAGATGAGTAACTATATAACCTTTAGAAGACATCTGAATGCAGGCCTGTATAAGGAAGCCTTTTAACGTCTAATGTTTTATTATGTTTTAATATATGTTGGAAGGCGCCCACAGTAGCAGGGGCAACCCAGTCAGATGGGCGGGGTACAAATATCGAAATTGAAATGTGGGAGTGGGGTAAGAAGCAGCTGCTTGACATGGGCCTCAGGTGGATTTCTTGCTCTGAAACTGAAGAAAGCAAGGAAGCAGGTTTTGATTGTTGAATGAGGTTGGTTAATTTGTATTTGTATGTTGACTCATCATTTTCAAATTTTAATTGTGGGTAGGGGCCTCAAAAGCTGGGAGACCCTGGTTAAGAGACAAATGCCCAGTTCCATTTTCTTAAAAGAGCCTTCATGAAGGTGTGCTGTGAAGTATAAAGCATTTCTTCAAATATCTGTAAATAGTTGCACCTCAACCGTTTCCACTCTGAAATATTTAGTCTGTAAATACCATTTCTGATAATTTTATTGGGTCTTGGGGTTTGTGAGTGGACAATTCAGCCACTAACAAGACCCAATTCCACATACAACTGGATATTAAATTTTCATTTAAACTAAATATCCATGCATATCCATCATCTGAGAGAAGGCTCTCAGATGATGCTGGAGAAGGCCCCAGCAGGGAGAGAGGCAGCTCAGTAGAGGGGGAAGCAAATCAGCGCAACACCAGGGATAAAGGGGGCAGAGGGGGGAATCGGCGAGAGGGCTCCAGGACTCTTCACTGGACACCAGCAGAGAGAGCACAGGTCCTCCTCTACCCACGCCCTCTCTGCGCAGAAGACTTCCGCGCAGTGAGAGTAGGAGGAGACTGGGCTTCAAACAACTTTTATGTTGGAAGAGGTTTAAGAAACGCCCACTGACGGATTCTGCCAGTGACTGAGGCAGCCATGGAGAGAAGGGCTGTCCAGTCAGAAAGGTTTAACAAGGCAATTTAGCCTGGAGAGGCGGCAGCTTACGGCACGAGCAACCCCATACATATTACAGCAATCCGTCAGTCCCTGAAGTTGCTTGTGCACAGCAGCAGGCAGGCAGCATCATGAGCAAAACCGGAGAAGTGGGCGCCGCGGAGGGAGCAGCTGGAATGCAAAATCTGGTGGAGAGGAACCGAGATTTGGAACAGCATGTGGCGCTTCTGACAGCGCGGCTGGACAAAAGGCGGATTCAAGATGCACAGGTCAGACCCACCCCCATAGCAAGGAAGGTAGCGGGATTGGTACACAAATTTGGAGGGAAGCCCCAGGACTATAGTGCGTTCCGAACGGAAATAGAGTATGCGTTGGAACTGCAGCACAATGGTTTTGCAGACGATGGGGCGAGGGTTGCCTATATTGTAGGACATCTGCAGGATGGGGCCAGAGAATGGATCAGGCCCCTAATGGCGACGCAGAATGCCACCTTGAAGGACCTGAGGAAATTCTTCCAGGCAATGGATGCAATGTTCTCCAGTGATGTACAACAAAGTGTGACTCGGCGGGAACTGATGAACTGTAAACAGGGGAACCAGTCAGTTAGAGACTACTGGTCACGCTTTGCCATGTTAGTTCACCGGCTTGGGTGGGAACTGGACTCTGAACCCATACAAATGTTGTTCGAGGAGGGGTTGTCCCCAACGGTGAAGGATGAGCTTTCCCGCGCACCCCGCCCACAGTCGATGGATCAGCTGACCAAGGCTGTGCTTGCGATTGGCGTAAGGCAGGAAGCGCGGGCCCAGGAGAGGCGGGAAGGGAGAGAGCAACGTTGCCATGACTACCGCATTCCTGAAATACCAAGGCAGCCTTCCCCGCCGGCGGAGCCAATGGAAATAGATGGGGCGCGCGCGGGAGGTTTCAAATTCCAGCGAAGGTCGCAAGAAGGAGGGAAAGGATTGGAAAACCACCAAGAAGTGTTTCCTCTGCCAGCGGCCAGGACATTTTCCAGGGTCTGCCCTCAAAGAAAGACCTGGCAAGGAATGGTGGGAGCTGCAGGGGGTGAGGAGGAGGTGGAAAGGGGCAGGAGCAGGGAAACGCGAACGCTTGGCTGCCACTCAGCGGGCACAGCAGCCAGGCCAGCAACCAGTAGAAGTGCCCCAACCAGACCCCCCCAGGGCGGCTATAGCCATAGAAGTGGTGCTAGAACTCCCGAATGGGCACCCAGTCAAGGTGAAAGGGATGCTGGATTCAGGCAGTTCCTACAATTTCTTCAGCAAGGACTTTGCACTAGAGCACCAGCTCCTCCTGCTGCCCTTGGATTTCCCCTTGCAAGTAACCACCATTGATGGCAGGGAGCTTCTGGGAGGGGAAGTGACACACCAGACCCCACCAATGAGAATGAGCGTTTCCAGGCACTCAGAGACCATCGCCTTTCACGTCGCCTCACTGGCAGGGCCCCCAATAATATTAGGGATGAGCTGGCTAGCACAACATGATCCAGTGGTGGCATGGCATCAGAGGACAGTCACCTTTGGGTCCACTTACTGCTTGGAACACTGTCTAGGGGGGGAAACCCCAAGGATGACCGTGGCCGGGGTGGCTGGGATAGCTGTGGAGCGGAAAGGGGAGGTGCCACCACAATATGCTGACCTGCAGGAGGTCTTCAGCGAGAAGGAGGCAGATAGACTACCCCCCCATAGGCCCTTTGACTGCCATATCAACTTGCTCCCGGGGGCGCAGCTGCCGGTGTGTAAACTGTATGCCATGTCGGACAGGGAGATGAAGGAGTTGCGGGAATTTATTGACAAGAACCTGAAAAGAGGCTTCATAAGAGAATCAAAAGCAGTGGGAGGCAGTCCGGTGTTCTTTGTGGACAAAAAGAACACTAATAAATCCAGGCTCGTTGTGGACTATAGGGCCGTCAATTTGGTGTCGGAACCCGTGACCTTCCCAATGCTCAGGATTGACAACATTTTAACGCGGGTGAGGAAGGGGAAATTTTTTACCAAGCTGGACCTCAGGGGAGCATACAATTTGATTAGGATGAGGGAGGGGGATGAATGGAAGACCACAATGTTCACACCCCTAGGGGCCTTTGAGTACCTAGTTATGCCTTTTGGATTACAGTCGGGCTCCGCCTTTTTTCAAGCTTTCATGCACCACGTGTTGGGGTCTCTGCTGTACAAGAACTGCGTAGCCTTCTTGGACGACGTCTTAATCTATTCGGACAATGAGGAGCAACATGTCAGAGACGTCAGGGAAGTGCTAAAATGACTGCAGAAGCACCAGTTGTGGGTCAAGCTGGAAAAATGTCAGTTTTACGCCAGGGAAGTTGAGTTTCTGGGGTACAAGTTGTCAGACAAAGGCCTAGTGATGGACCCAAGCAAGGTGCAGGCAGTGCTGGAGTGGAAGGCCCCCAAAACCCGGAAGGACGTGCAGAGGTTCCTAGGGTTCAGCAAACTTCTACAGGAAGTTCATCAAGAACTTCGCCCACTTGACAGCGCCCATCACAGATTGTCTCAGTAGCAAAAGGAAGTTCGTCTGGACAGAGGGGGCCCAGCAATCCTTTGAAAGACTGAAGAAGGCGTTCGCATTGGAAGAACAGCTCCTGCACGTAGATCTGGAGAAACCCATGAGGCTAGAGACCGACGCGTCCGACAGAGCCATTGGGGCGGTCCTTTTGCAGCCAGGGAGGAGCAAGCAGGAATGGAAACCATGTGCCTTTTTCTCGAGAAAGCTGAGCAAGTCAGAGCAAAACTATACTGTGTATGACCGTGAACTGCTTGCGATCTATGCGGCCTTTCGTCGATGGCGCCATCTACTAATAGGGGCGCAACACAAGATCCAGGTTTGCACAGATCACAAGAACTTGGAGTACTGGAGGACCGCACGAGTACTCAACCAGAGACAGATTCGATGGGCACAGGAGTTCTCCAAGTTTTCCTTCGAAATCCGATACGTGCCAGGATAGGAAAACGTAAGAGCAGATGCTCTCTCCCGAAAGCCGGAGTACATGTAAGGAGATGGGCCTCCGGAGATACGACACGTGATCCCCGAGGACCGATGGGTGTGTGGGGGAACCTTGGTGGGGAAACGAGAACTGGCTGGGCTTACTAGAAACGACGTGTTCGCACAAACTAAAATCCGGGAACTCCGAGACGGAAGAGAAACCCAAGGAGGGTTTGAGGAGAAGGAAGGGGTGCTGTACTATAAGGGGGCGCTGTATGTACCGGGGGAGACCCTGAGGGGAAAGGTACTCAAACAACTCCACGACAACCCCACAGCTGGGCACTTTGGACAGCACAAAACCATGATGCTTCTCACCAGGCAGTTCTGGTGGCCTAGGGTGAGGATGTACAGGAATATGTATGGGGGTGCGACCGCTGTCAAAGGGCAAAGGGGGAGCGGGCTGCCCCCGCAGGTTTACTGGAACCCTTACCCACGCCGGGAAAACCCTGGGAGGTGGTGTCCATCGATTTTATGACCAATTTGCCCAAGTCCCGGGGAAAGACAGCGGTCATGGTAGTGGTCGATCTACTGACAAAAATGTGCCATTTTATAGCTTGCTCACATGCGGTAACGGCAGAGGAAACAGCCCGGTTGTTTGTGGAGCACATCTTCAGGTTGCATGGCGCTCCCTCGAGGGTTATCTCCGACCGCGGGAAACAATTTACTTCCCGGTTCTGGAGGAAGCTCATGAGCTTGCTGCAGGTCGAAGTGGGCTTCTCGACGGCGTGACACCCGGAGACCAACAGGCAAACAGAAAGAGCGAACAGTATACTCCAGCAATACCTACGCTGCTACGTCAGCGAGAGGCAGAACGATTGGGTAGAGAAACTAGCGCTGGCTGAATTTGCGTACAATAACGCTGAACACGTGTCCACGGGAATGAGCCCGTTCATGGCCAATTATGGGTGTCATCCCAGGGCCTTCCCGGGGAGTGGGGAGGAAAGTTGGAGCGTACCTGCGGCAGAGCAGTTTGTGGAAGAAATGGAGGCCCTGCACCAGCAACTTAAGATGAACTTGGAGCAGGCCAATTAAATTTACAAGAGGCAGGCAGACAAGCGCCGCAGGGAAGGGGAGACCATACAGGTGGGGGACCGGGTGTGGTTGTCTACCCAAGGGTTACCCTTTAAGGGGGGGTGCAAGAAGTTGCAGCCCAGGCAGCTGGGACCGTTTGAGGTAACACAGCAGGTGAACCCTATGGCATTTAAGCTGAAGTTGCCTGACAGCATGAAAATACACCCGGTGTTCCACAGGTCCCTACTCTCACCGCACAGGGAGGGGCGGGAATTCCCGGGGCAAGAGGGAGAAGTCACCACACACCCGCAGGTAGAAGAAAGGGAACACCACCACTTGGCCACGGAAATACTGGACTCAAGGTGGCGAGGACGCCAGGTGGAGTACTTGGTAGCTTGGGAGGAAGAACCCAGTTCGGAAAACACGTGGGTTCCCGCGGAAGTAATCGATGACAGGTATCTGGTGGAGGAATTCCACCGCCTGTTCCCAGACAAACCCAAACCCCTAGCGAGATTCTGGAAGGAGCAATATGGAACCACAGAAGATGAAGAGGATTTTGAGGGGTTTTCTGCCTCCGAGGGGGAGGGAGGAGAGGTTTCGGAGGAAGAAGAATCAGACAGTAAGAGGCAGAATAAAAATTCTCAAAGACTTCTGGAAGCTTGACTTCCCATGGACTAGCGGTGCCCAGGATTCATTCCATACCCACATTTTGCTCTAGAGGGTTGCAGTCCAGAGTTCTACAACCAAAAGTACTTCTACAGCATGGTTCTTCAAGAGGTTGTGAACACCAAGGGCCACTTTATGGATGTCAATGTCTGTGTTGTTGGGAGAAAACATGGTATAGATATCTTCCGGATGTCCCGCCCTTGCTGACAAGCCAGAGGCTGGTCCAGTCTTCCCTGGCCTAGTGGTGCTTGTCAGTGATTTTTCCATGTGCCCCCTCAACTTCACCATTCAGGCATTCGCCTTCAAACCGTAGCTGATGTCTTCCTACAGGTCTACATGGATAGGCATGGACTGTACCTTCAGCTACTACCACAGTTCAGCTTGGCTACCTGTGAAAAGGCTTTGGCCATTTAAAGTTAAGGTGGAGGTCCCTCTATATCTTGCTAGATATGGATATCATTGTTGTCTCCTGTATCCTGCTCAAAAGCTGCAAGACAGGGGCCGGTATCCTTCTTGAGAAGCACCCTGATATGTCTAAGCTTGGAGATGAGATGGATGCTGTACCCATGGGCAGAGACCAGAATGTTAACACAGTTCCAGTTAACCGATGACAAGTATGTATGCATGTGTAAATAAAACCATGTATGTTTTTGCAGGTACCACCATCTTAGAGGTATGCATTTGCACCCCCAAGACTCTCACCAGTCAGAGTTTTAGCATTTATAACAGTATTTTCAGAAATATAATGCTTACTCAGAGCACAAGTTGGAATATTAGGCAACCATTGCTTCCCACCGATGTAATTAATCTTAGGTGATCCGATCAAAATATAGCCAATATCACATTGAATAGTAACTTCATCTCCAATGTTGTAGTATTCTTTCTCCCCATAGATTATTCTTCCATTACGGATATAGAGTTCAGTAGTGTCTGGTGATGTTCTAGCTAAAACACACAAAAACTATTAAAAATAATATAAAGCAGTACTAAACTGCACAAATGGGGCTAAAAGGAAGATTTTTTGGTCATGTTTGCAAAGCTTGGTGTGATGCATCCTATTAGATATTGATAGCTAGTTTGTAGATCCCTGGAAAAGGTTAAGAGAGGGTGCAATCCAGTTCACAGCCACAGTATTGTACCTTCTCTTTTACTTCTTCCACTGGTCAACTCTGCAACCCTGGCCTATTTGTCATGGTTCTAATCCCATCCCATTCTTGCATTGTGCAAAATTAAAGGATTCCAAGGTTGCAGCTTTTGCTCTATCACTCCAATGGATTTTTTCACTAATGATTTGTTTTTATATTAAAAACATTGTACAAGAACTGAGTGGTTTGGAATACTTCAATTTCAGGCCTTCTGCATGCTGATGCTATTGCAGTTATCTCCACCACATTAATTGGAATATGGAAGTTACTGAGCAACTAAGTTTTGTGTGAAACAGCACCTATTATTACTGCAAAGACTAAAATTCTAGGTATTGGCAAGAAGAAAGCTCATATATGGAAGTTGGGCAATCCCATGGCCAGCCACATTCATGTAAGCCACATTCAATACTAACTTTCATGCAAAGGAACCCAGAACTGAATCTCTAATCAGGGACAGGATATGATGAGGTGCAGTGCACACAGCAGCTAGCATACCACTAAAATAAAAATATCAACTGTAATTGGGATTAAAACATATCATTTTTAGTCCAATAGACCAATGCAGCCAATGTTCTGGAAAGCAAGTGAAAGCATTCACATAAATACACATGACAGAAGTCTGTCAAATTGTACTTAAGATACCTTTGCGGGGGGCGGGGGGAGGGGATTAGACAAGGGCCAGGTTCAAATCCACAGTAAGCCATGAAGCTACCTAGGTGACCTTGGGCCATTTACTGTCTCTTGGCCAGAACAGCATTCCACTGTTGATGTACAGATAAAATTGGGAGACATAGACCTATGTACACCACCCTGATCTCTATGGAAGAAAGGTGGAGTATAAATGTAATAATGAACAAAAAAGTAAACAAAAAACTGCTAGAAGAAAGAAGCAGCTTCAGAAGATGTCAAGACCACATATAATGGTGTGGGTGTGTCTGCCCATCTGTGATTTATCTGTAGATAATGGGAAATATCTGTCTTGAGTATGGCTTTAAAAGGAACATTTATATATGGATTTATATACATACAGAAACATGGTTGTATAGAAGGATCCCACTAATTGTAGCCTTTGCATTTTACAGTCATCTTTGTGGTTTCATAAAAAAAAGAATGGTTTGGATGGCAGTAAACTGTGATGGTATCACCAATTTTGTATTCAGATTGCAATGGATACACACTCCCTTTGGGCATTACTGGAGCACCACAATTTTCCGGATAAACTATAACAAGAAAAATAAAACTGGAAGATATAAATGCAAGACTAATAGCATACAATCTGTCACAAGATTCAAGATGGCGCCATTGTGTCAGGTACCTGGATTTTTGAGCAGGCTGTCCTAACCATTGGCGCTAGGGGTGCATGGCACCCGGGCGCCAGGCTTTCAGGGGTGCCAGACCAAGAGTCTGGGGTCAAGTGTTGGAGTCCGGGGAAGAGCCGCCAACAGCCGGACTCCAACGCTTGCCCCCAAACTTGCACTGAGCAGCCCGCAGCAGAAGAGCCTGCGGCGCTCTGACAGGTTCTGCTCCGCTCAGCTGTCAACTCTTCCCCCAGCTGCATGGCCGCTGTTTCAGTGCCGCGCCTGGAGCGCCATGTACCGTGGGCGTGGCGCGGTGCATCCTGTTGCATGCGCCAAGCTGCGGGTTCCTTTGCTGGCTTTTCCACTGTTGGTGCACCCTCCCAGCACCACCCAACGTGGGGTGCCAGTGCAGAACAATGGGGAATGCAAGCGGTATCTCCAGACGGGATCTGCCACGCGCCGACGGCAACAACAAATCCTGACGAATAGGAGCATGCGGATCCTGTCTGGAGATGTTTCCTCTGCTGCCACTTGCATTCCCCGTCATTCTGCACTGGCACCCCATATTGGGAGGCACTGGGAACATGCGCCAACAGCGGAAAAGCCAGCAAAGGAACTCGCAGCTTGGCGCATACAACAGGATGCACCACGCAGCGGCCACAACGTTTCATGGCGCTCCAGGTGCTGCATGCGCAGCCAAAACAGCCGCCATGCAGCAGGGGTATATGGAGGCAGCGGGTGGACAGCCCAGTGACTGTGCCACCCAACATTTTGTCATCGTCCCCAGCATGGAACCCCCACCCACCTTTGTACAGCCCTGTGCGTGTGGTTGGCGCTTTGAGTCCCTGCATCCCACAACTGTTCTAAAGGTAAACAACTATTTCCTTAACAACTTTGGGGTCCCTCCCTTAAAAAAGGTTGTCAACTCTGGGCAACCTAGGAGCGCCAGGCGGATCTTTGCACCCCAGCACTGTATATGCTTAAGACGGCCCTGTTTTTGAGCTCTGTAAGAAGGCACAAAACAGTTTAACACCAATTACGTCATGGCAAGTCATGCAAACCCTATTCTTTTGAACACAACAGGAGAAAAGTTGAATTATTCTTAAACTTTTGTTCTTGAAATGTTTTCTGTGCAGTCACACATTGGGCATGCTTGTAAAACAAATGCTATTAGGCAAACTGGATAAGAGTTACCCTTTCAGAAACAAATGACTAACATCTATGTGATGAGTGAAGCTACAAAATCTCTGTGTAAGCTAGATTTCAATGCACTTCTTTAAAATATTGCACTTGGGAAGGTGTAGGTCCTAGGCCAGGAGTAGGGAATCATCCACCCTCCATTTCTCTAAGGAATGTGTATACACTGCTGTGGTGGGTATAAAGCCAAGGTTGGATTCACCAGCACTGGCTGAATGTAAGGTACTTCCAAGTTATTGGCAGTCAAGCTGAAGGTAACATGCTATATGGCGATAACATACCATGGTGAGCTAGCATGGTAAAGTGCTAGTGGATCTCTATAAACTTGGGTCTTTACAAGATTTATTTCTAAAACCACAAGAACTGAATTATAGATTAGTTCATGATGCAGCAGCATCTCTTAGATTTTATGTAGCTAGTGTGTTTATTTTTGTCTTGTGTCGTGAGACATTGAACAGATTATATAATTTGAACTGAACTGTCTGAGCAAAGAGTTTTCTGAACTGGGAACTCTGGAAAAGGCTGACTACTGGAAAGAAGGAAGAACCTGACATTCTGCTCGATGACTCTGCTAGAGCTGTGCAGACTCTGTCGATCACACTGCTTGAAGTTTGGTATAGTATCAACAAACGGATGGTGGGCCCACTATATCAGGTTATTGGCCAACTGACTTCTATAAGTCTAGCAACGGTTCATGTGATGGGGCAGATGCTGAACACCAGCATCATTCTTGCTTACCTGGCTAGCACTGGGGCAGCAGCAAACTCAGAGCTGCACAGGTGCACCAGTGAGGCTGTCGCTGCCACTCTAGCAGTCCTATGATTACGCGCACAGCCCCAACCTTGCCTTTGCTGCTTGTAACTTAACTGAGCTGAACTTGCAGCTCCATACAGCAGCCTCTTTGGATTCCACCTTTTGATTACCTTCTGCCTTGGATTCCTTCATTTTCTCCTCCTAGCACTGGTGAACTCCAGACACTACTTCCTACTATGATTTTACTTTCTGTCTTCCCCACTGGAGTAAACACATGCAAAACTATCAAATGTGGGACTTCCGGGTTAGCGCCATCGTCTAATGGCGGATTCCCTCCGAGCTCCGGGCTTCGGGACGGGGGACGGGGAGCGGCGTGGTGCTGAGAGTCGACTGCTTCTCCTACGGAGTGAAGCCGCATGCCATGGTCGGAGAGCGCTGACTTCTTCCTTTGAACATTTGGACTAAAAGTAACAACCCGTGAGTAATACGGAATTTGGATTTATAAAAGGAAAATTTTTGTTTAAATTCGGTACGATCGGGGAAGGCGCAAATAGGAAGTCCGTCTCCCCGCCTTGTAAACAACTTGAAGCAAGGACTAGATAACTAAGGTCGAGAGAACATCTTCTTTTTTATTGGATAAAGTTATTAATTGCACGATTTGGCAGTATAAGCAATCTTGCTGGAGGATAAGAGTTAATTTGGAAAGCTGAAGTGCCACCCCCCGGGACCCGGGAGTGATCCGCGAGAGAGAGCCTGTTGAGGAGACATAGAAGATTTTGACAGCTGTCAAACTAGCTGTCAAAGTTGGAAAAAAATAGAGAACTTTGTTTCTGTTGTCTTTGCTGGTTATATTTGTTACAATATAGTTATAAATTGTTGGAAACAAAGAAGAACTGAAACAAGTTAACTTGACTTTTGGGTTGGAACTGGAAGGAATACTAAATAACCAGAATCCCTCTAGAGGAGGTTCAGGGACATTACAAGAATGGCTGCAAGTGGAAAAATACAGGCTGAACTGGACAAGGCTTTTTTTCTCTTGGGAAAGTTGCAAGAGCAAAGTGATGTTTTGGCTACAAGTGTCACAACTTTGAAGTGAACAGTAAATAAACTTACTGAGTTGGATAAGGACTTGACTCAAAAAGTCTATGCAGCTGAACAAGAAAAGAAATCTGAGAAATTTGAGGAAGTGGAAAAAGAGATATATGTTGATCAGGAGGAGCAGGAAGGAGGGGCCATAAAGCAGCAGATGGCAAAGGAGAGCCAGAGGCCTGTCAAGATGGATACAAAGGAAAATAATAACTGGATGATGAAAATCTGGTTTGAATTGAAGAATGAAGAATGGAGAGATTTCCTCTTGTGGAGATCTGAAGATCTATGGACTACAAATTTGATCAAGGTGGAAGCTGGAGCTTTTGGGACATTTGGATTTAAAAGCTTTAAGAAACAAGATTTGAGCTCCACTTTTAAATATGGAGGTCTGGCTGGAAGAAATATGGACATTATTGGGACAGAGCTTCTCCGAGATTTGGTGTTTAATACAAAGGACTATCAA